TGGTGCAGCCACTGTGGAAAACAGTATGGAGCTTCCTTTAAAAAATGAGAAACAGGACTACCATATGATCCAGCAAGTCCACTCATGGGTATATATCCAAAGAAAAGAAAAACAGTAATTTTAAAAGATACATGAACTCCACTGTTCATAGCAGCATTATTTACAATAGACAAGATAAGCAAGCAACCTAAGTGTTCATCAACTGGTAGATGAATAAAGAAGATGTATATATACAATGGAATACTACTCAACCATAAAAAATAATGAATTCTGCCATTTGCAACAACGTGGATGGACCTAGAGGGTATTAGGCTTAGTGAAATAAGTCAGAAAGAGAAAGACAAATACTGTATTTCATCATTTATATGTGGAATCTAAAAAATAAGGCAAGTGAATATAACAAAACAGAAACATACTCAGATATAGAGAATAAATTAGTGATTATTAGTGGGGAGAGGGAAGGGGAGGGACAAGACAGAGGTAGGGAATTAAGAGGTAAAAACTACTTTGTATGAGACAAACTACAAGGATATATTGTACAGCACGGGGAAATATAGCTCTTATTTTATAACTTTAAATGGAAAACAATAAAAATATTACATCACAAGTTATACACCTGAAAGTAATACTGTAAATCAACTATATTAAAAAAAAACACACACATCAGAAACAGGTCAGCCATGTATCAGCTGACAGTGAAAACTGCCTCATAAACATCTGCACCTTTCTAGAGAAGACAGCATAAACCTATCCAGCATAAACTTTAGAAACCACTCTTTTACAGTCCAGCTCATTCATTTTTTTACTGTGGTAAAAACATGTATAACATAGGGCTTCCCTGGTGGTAAAGAATTCGCCTGCCAATGCAAGACATGTGGGTTCAATCCCTGATCCAGGAAACTCCCACATGCAACTAAGCCTATGCGCCGCAACTATTGAGCCTGTGCTCCAGAGCCCACGAGCCCCAGTTACTGAGCCTGCACGCCCTAGAGCCTGTGCTCCCCAACAAGAGAAGCCACTGAAATGAGAAGCCTGTGCACCACAACTAGAGAGTAGCACCAGCTCTCCACAACCAGAGAAAAGCCCATGCAGCAATGAAGACCTAGCACGCCAAAAATAAAGTTGTTTTTAAAATATGCATAACATAAAATTGCTCTTTCATGTTTACTGACTGGATAAGTGACCTAAGATCACTCAGAAACGAGGAGGAGGCCCTAAATGGGTTAGCACTCACTCTACAGCTGTGAAGAGTAGCTGTTGGGGTAGGATGGCTTCGAGGTGGGGGAAGGTGGGAAGGACTGTGACTCCACATGTGCACAGTCATGAACTATACCTGGAGTGTTCTGGTTAATCAGGAAAGCTTGACTGTGCAGTCACGAAGAGAAAAACAGGGCAAACATGAGGTCTTCTCACCAACTACCCCCAAAATAAATACAACCAAAGGCTCAGACAAATGTTTTTTAATCATTAAAATGTTGGAGAGGAAAGTCCAATGCTACAGATTTGCTTTACTGGGAAGACAGTTCTTTTGCCTCTGAGGGAAGGGAAGCCTGGACCAATAGCTGGGTCATTAGGAAGGCTCAGAGCCCGCAGAAGGTATTTCATCACCAAGGACGTAAAGGTACTTTTCATGTGCCTGGACCACTGCTTCATGCCAAAGGAACAAAACTGATGAGGTCTCTGCTCTTAAGGATCTCGCAGAATCCACCAGGAGACATAATTATGCTCAAAGACCAGAAAGCAATTAGTAGCTATATCAGGGCCCTCAGGAAAGGGAGCATCCTGGACCAGGGTGGTGAGGCGAGGACTTGTGGCCTGAATATGTGTGGCCTATTAAAAAAAAAAAAAATTGGGCTTCCCTGGTAGCTCAGACGGTAAAGCATCTGCCTACAATGTGGGAGACCTGGGTTCGATCCCTGGGTCAGGAAGATCCCCTAGAGAAGGAAATGGCAACCCACTCCAGTATTCTTGGGGTCCCAAAGAGTCGGACATGACTGAGCCACTTCACTTCATATCAAAATTAGGGCCTCCTGGGTGGTGCAGTGGCAAAGAATCCTCCTACCAATGCAGGAGACTTGGGTTCGATCCCTGGTCTCAAAGATCCCCTGGAGAAGGAAGTGGCAACTCATTCCAGTATTCTTGCCTGGAGAATAACATGGGACAGAGGAGCCTGGCAGGCTATATAGCCCCTGGGGTCACAAAGAGTCAGACATGACTCAGCGACAAACAACAATGTATCAAAACTATACCACCACCAACAGTGCTGTTTACTAATGCCATGGGGTCTCTGAAGAGTTGGACACGACTGAGCGACTTCACTTTCACACACTGGAGAAGGAAATGGCAACCCACTCCAGTGTTCTTGCCTGGAGAATCCCAGGGATGAGGGAGCCTGGTGGGCTGCCGTCTATGGGGTCGCAGAGTCGGACATGACTGAAGTGACTTAGCAGCAGCAGCAGGTGGGGAGAGCAGGTGATATACTGAGCACTAATCATAGGTGTTAATTATCCTCATTTTACAGGTAAGGGCCTGGACTCAGAGGTGGGAAATGGTTATACCTTTAGTTGAAGAAAGAGCTAGAGATTAAACCCAGGTGTAACATAATCACCAAGATTGATCAGTTCTCCTTAAAGCTCCTTCACAGTAATGAATGGCAAGGATTTTCAACTTGGATTTTTAAACCACTGTGTATAAGTAATTATAATCTACTTCAAAGAGGAAGGCAAAAAAGAAAAGTCACCCCCATTTGCTGGCCTACTTCTTCAGTTCTCAACTTGAACATCATCTCTTCCAGTACTCCTTCATGCTCCCCAAATGCGGCAAGGCTCCCAAAATAAGAATCACAGTCCTTCATGTGAAATTTCAAAAGCCAATACACTCTAAAAACTTGAAGTGTTTTCATAAGTTTTCAGCAAGCTCATTTGATGGCAAAATGCTGACCTGAACTGGTGTGAAACTACTTTCTGCATTTACTTTTCCTACTCAGTGATAATCTCCATATTCCGATGTGGAAAACAATAGTGTGTTTGATTAAGGGTGCTGCCTAGATTTTACTGCAGTTACTAGGGAATATTCAATATATGTATACCACCCCAAATCCAAACATTTCTGACTTGCAAACCGTATCTGATGTCAAGAGTTTCAAACAAGGGACTGTGGACCTATCCCCTACACATGAATCGCACTGCACTACAAGTATCTACTCTTCTTTGTAGGCCCAGGACCAGACAGAGTGCCTTGCACGTAACAGGTACACAACAAATATTTCCTGAGTGAAAAAACAAACCTGTGAAATTGGCTATAGGGAAAAGGGTCAGTGCTTTGGGAGTGACCAGGCCTCTATCATGGAATGCCACTTCCTTCTCTGACATGGAGGTCCTATAAATAGTTGCTGTTGATTGAAGGCAAGCAACACAGCTGCTGTCTTCAGGAAGAATAAAAATAGTCCAGGGGTCTTACATGTTGGGCCACACATAACTTTAGCGGAGTAATACAAAACAGAAGATACTCAGACGTCAGACCACATGAGAAGCTTCACAAATCTCCTCTAGCTTGAGCGAACACCTGCGTTTGGGTCTAACCCTGCTACCTGCAGTAACTTTTTTGGCTCACAGATTTCTCATCAGTAAAATGAGGGCAACAGAGTAAGCCCTAAGGCCCTCCCAGGTGGGTCTCTAACAAGATAATTCAAGGGCGAAATAGCAGCCGTCGCCACACAACCAGGAGTAGGATACACACCCCAGCATTTCTCCCCTCCTGTCTATTGTCATCACAGTCCAGAGCTCACCATCCTCAGTGTGCTGTCCAATCTACACACACCTCTTTTCATCCGAAAGAAGCTGAGTCCATGCAAAAAGACGCATTGTGTACCCAGGGCATCTAAAGGGCTCCTATCTTCAATCCCAAACAGTAGTCAAAGAATCCTGTGAAGTGTATTCCCAAAGCCCTTCGGTCCCCTGACTCGGAAAGTGGACGAAGTGGGGGGGGTGGGGGGGAGGAGTAACCACTGGCTAGCAAAACTGGATTTAAAGAAGAAAACAAAAAACCTCATAACTGCAAAGTCTAAGGCCACGAGACGGGACTGAGTAGGGGAATAAGTGCCTCGAGAGGGCAGTTCGACGTGGTCCCTCCTTACCTGATAACAGAGGATTGTTTGCTGCACCAGCCGCGCATATCCGTCTAAGCGGACCCCAGAATTGCTCCTGCTCCTCATCTCCGCGTTGCTCCCGGGCCTCGGCGTCCGACCCGTGGCAAGGAGGCGGGTCGCCCGGGCTGCGGCCGCCAAGCGGGCCTGGTTCCCAAACAGTCACAGCCTCGGCCAGTTCTCGGGATGGAGCCCGGTGGTTAAGACGTAGGGACTTTTAAAAACGACAGAACCAAAGTATGACTGGAAAGCCAGCCAGCTAGTTTTCTTACAGTAGAAAGGCGCGAAGGCGGAGATAGGGGCTGGCACTACGGCGACCCCGCCTCGACCAGGCCCGACGCGCTCCCGACACTCGCGGGTCCCTGGCAACCCCGCGGGAGAAGTAGGGAACTGGGTTCCGGGCGTGGGGCGACGGTGCGCCCGCCAAGCCTTTTTCGTCTGCAGGCGGTCGCGAAGCGGCCTCGAGGCCGGCCACGAACTCTATCCTTCCCGCCCGCCGCAGCCCACTCACAGTCCCGCCCCTGGCCGCGCCCCCGCCGCGGAACCGAACCCCCCGAGTCCCGGCCCGCGGGGGAAGGAAAACGAAGTGGCCCGCGAGAGTAGCGGGGAACTTGGCTCCGGGCGGGAACCAGTTTGCCTCTCTGAGCCCCTTACCTCGCCGCCAGTAGCAGACCACAGCCGGGGCTGTTGAAACAGGCCCTTCCGTCGCGGGCATCTGGAGGTCCGGACCCGCCCCGTGGACCCGCCCCAGGCCCGCCTCCCGCTACGCCCCCGGCGCGGAGCGCAACCCGCGGAGCCGGGCCGGAGGCGCAGAACACCTCTGAAACGCTGGGACGCTGGCCCGCCCCGCCCTGAGATGAGCTCACAATCGCATCCCCGGCCCCGCCCTCTAGCACCGCCTCCAGGTCCGCCCGCGCTGCGGAGCAGCAAGCTGAGTTGGGGAGATAAAGAACTGGTTGCTGGCGGGCGACGAGGCTTCTCAAGCGGCCGTAGGGAGGGTTCCTTGGGAGAAATAGGTCCGCCCACCGCTGCTGCCTGGGCAACCCCTCCGCAGGCCAGAAGAGCAGCTCTGCCCTGGTGCGTCTCTGCCCACGAGCGGAAGCAGACTAGTGGGACCCAGAGGGGAGAGGAGAGGGACAGATTGGGGCAGGGCAGGGTACCGCAGCTGCTCACGGCGCCTGCAGCCTCAACACTAGGCACCTGGGAGAAGCTCACCTGGCCTGAACTGCGGCCCACCGCCAGGCCTACAACTTGAAACTTGGCATTCGTTTTTCGTGGCTGCTAATTACCCACTGTTTTTACTATCTTCAGCGAACTATTCATTTTCTACCAAAATCTGGCCCCATAATCTGACAGCTCAGCTAATAGCCTTTCCTAAATTCCTTTGCAACTCTCCATGCATTTAACTGTATGCTTGGTGGACAGGGAGGCCTGGCGTGCTGCAGTCCATGGGGTCGTAAAGAGTCGGACACGACTGAGCGACTGAACTGAACTAACCCAGTAGACCTCCTCCCCGCCTATCTGAAGACTCTTTTCTTTAAGGGCCCGCTCAGCTCTTCTCTCCTGTTAGTCATCCCCATGCTCTGAATTCCCATGTTTCTTTAGGAAGAGTTTAGGTCTTGGAATCTGTTCAAATTGAGTTCAAATTCCAGTTCTGCCATTTACAATTGGTGTGAACTTTGGCATGTTTTACCTGTTTGAAATTCAATGTTCTCATCTTTAAATTTGAATAATGATAGCACCTACCTCCTAGGGTGGCTTTGAACAAGAGGATGAATATAAATCATCATACCTGGCTCATAGAAAAGCACTTCATAAGTCCTAGCTAGTTTAATCATCATTTGACAATAATGTATTGCCTTGTATTGTTTCCATGTGAGGCATGTTTTTCTAACTGGATCGTAAGTTACTCATTGAAACAGTCTTTGGTATCTCCCACTGTGCCTGGTACAGTGTTGAGCATGTACTTATAGCTCAATTAGAATTGAATGAATGAGTGAATGAAAGAAAATCAGTCATATTCAACTGGGTCCCCTATGTATCATCCTTAACCAAGTTCATTTTCAAAATTCTATAACATAAACCTGCATCTCAGTGACTGAACTGAAATGACTGACTAAACTTAACTGAAACTTGCCTCACTCAGCTAAAGCACCAAAGCAAGTAGCTCACTTGTTTCTTACTTGTTGTTCGTCACTCAGTCATGTCCAACTTTTTGCGACCCCATGGACTGCAGCATGCTAGGCCTCCCCGTCCTTCACCATCTCCCAGAGCTTGCTCAAACTCATGTCCATTGAGTTGGTAATGCCATCCAACTATCTCATCCTCTGTCAACCCATTCTTCTCCTGCCTTCAATCTCTCCCAGCATCAGGGTCTTTTCTAATGAGTCAGCTCTTCACATCAGGTGACCAAAGTATTAGAGCTTCAGCTTCAGCATCAGTCCTTCCAGTGAATATTCAGAATTGATTTCCTTTAGGACTGACTGGTTTAATCTCCTTGCTCTCCAAGGGATTCTCAAGGGTCTTCTCCAATGCCATGGTTCAAAAATGTCAATTCTTCAGCACTCAGCCTTCTTTATGGTCCAACTCTCACATCCATACGTGACTACTGGAAAAACCATAGCTTTGACTAGATGGACCTTTGTCAGCAAAGTGTGTCTCTGCTTTTTAATATGCTGTCTAGGTTTGTCATTGCTTTTTGTCCAAGGAGCAAGGATCTTTTAATTTCATGGCTTCAGTCACCATCTGCAGTGATTTTGGAGCCCAAGAAAATACTGTCACTGTTTCCATTGTTTCCCCATCTATTTGCCATGAAGTGATGGGCCCGGATGCTATGATCTTAGTTTTTTTTTTATCTTAGTTTCTTGAATGTTGAATTTTCTTACTATTGGCTCTTTTTTTTTTTTTGAAAAGGTCTTAGTTTATTCTTTCATGAAAAATCTGCACAAGCACCACAGATACAGTCACTGCAGAATCTTTACTCCTTCTGTTGTCCAATCTCCAGCTCACTTTTTGCCAGCACCAACACTGGCCTTTGCAGTCCCCCTGACTTTCTTCATTGTTCTTGCGTTCTTTTCACTGTTTTCTTGAGGTCTTTTTCTTCTCATACAGGCCGTGTCTTGCAAGCCTATGTTTGGGCTCACTCTTCTTCGCGTAATCCAAGGAATTGTAAATCATGCCAAAGCCAGTTGTCTTGCCACCACCAAAATGGGTTCTGAATCCAAATACAAAGATGACATCTGGTGTGGTCTTGTACATTTTGGCCAGTTTTTCCCGAATTTCTGTTTTAGGTACTGTTGCCTTTCCAGGGTGAAGAACATCAATGACCATTTGTTTCCGCTGAAGCAGCCGGTTGGTCATGAACTTCCTAGTCCGGATAGTTACTGTGTCATTCATGATGGCGGCTGATCTTCAAGCAGCCAGGGAGGAAAAGAGGACTATTGGCTCTTAAATAATGCAGCAGTCCATGTGATGTGCCTCCATGAAGAATTTGCTGTGGTCAACAGGGGTAAATAAAACTAGGCATTATCACCATGAAATCTCTTGGCATGTATGTCCCCTTATAAAACTCTTATGTAAACTGTATCTAAAAGTTGTAATCATTACTGCCTTTGCTCACATTGAGTTCTTCTTCAAGAGTCCATTTTGCAGCCACAGGGGAATATAACTGATGACCTTTACATACTACCTGTACATTTCCATCCAGTACAGAAACATTTTCAGTTTCTTGACCTCATTCTCTGTAAAATCTGCTACACACATACACCCCTTTTGGTGTATAGCCAACCTGCATTCTTAGGCTTTGGTCTATGCTTTAATGTGGCTTTCCTGGTGGCTCAGCAGTAAAGAATCCACCTGCAATGCAGGAGATGCGGGTTTGATCCCCAGGGATGGGTAGATCCCCTGGAGAAGGAAATGGCAGCCCACTCCAGTATTCTTGCCTGGGAAATCCCATGGATAGAGAAGCCTGGCAGGCTCCAGTCCATGGGGTCACAAAGAGTTGGACATGACTGAGCACACACGCAGCAGCAGCATCATGCTTTAATGTATATTATCATATAAGCTGTATTTTTCAGTAAGCTTGAAATTCAGGGATAAAACCAAAAAGAAGGCAGGCAACTACTCTTAAGCTTTTAAATTTCCAAGCAAATTTCAGTGATTCTTTTTGGACTAGAAGCTGTGCTATATAAAACACTAGACTCATGTCTTAGTATTCTATGTTCCTGAGATAAGAAACCTCCCTATGTTTGTCCTTCTATTCACGAAGGCTTTCTCTGGTTGTATCCCACTAGAAACATGTTTCCAAGTCATTTCTCAAATGTTCGCTAAGAATCAGATATGGAATGTGATGGGGTATATTGTTCTTTCTGAAGCTGATTCATGATCTTTACAAAGATGAAAACCCAAAACTGGACCCTGGGGTAGCACCATGTATAATTTCTCTGTCCCCAACCAGAGGGTCTGCCCATTGTCCTGTCACAGGGGGCTGCTGTCAAGGAAATTCCCAGAAAGCCACATATCAGTGTCCAAAGCGGAAACCAACAAATGTTTCTCCTAGAGGGTTTAGGTCTTTGACTCTAAAGAAAAGTACTCCATCTTAGACACTGAGGAGTAAGTCCATTCTGAATTAATTTGCTGAAAATAGCCAATTTGCCAAATTTAGTTATTTCTATGACAGTTTAATTTTAGTTGGCTGGAGATCATTTTGTTTTTTATCACAATATTTTAAAGAATGATGAATGTGTCTCTGCTCTAGCTTCCTGCAGCTACTTTGAGAGGTAGAGAGAGAAACACCAGGGAGTATGAGATTTCTTCACAGTGAGGTATATATTTATAAATATATTTAAAAGAATATACTCTGGAAAGAAAGTATTCAATGTCTGTCTGCCCCAATTTTTTGTTGCTATACCTAGAGACTGAGGTGAAAAAAATATATATATACTGCTAAGAATTCTTCCTGTTCAAGATGATCTTCCTATATCCACTCAGTCTTTCTCCCATCTGTCCTTCAGACTCCAACCACAGCAGCAAGGAGCTAAAGCAGAAACAAACTGAATAGTCCTTCAAATGCTCTTATGGAGACAAAATGACAACACGCTAGTCCATTTGATAAACTGCTTGTTCAATAAATTAGCTCTTTGTGGAAATGACCTTCAATAAACTAACCTGCTTCCCAGGTAACCTCATTAGACACAACCCAGTATCCCCAGTGAAGCCATTTCACCATTTTTACTGAGAACAATCATGATCCCACTCACTGAAGTTAACAGAGTTACTCTGTGGGATTAATGATTGCAGTATGTTTTGGGAAAAAGGGAAAAAAAAACCACCTTCTCAAATGTTCTGAGAAAATGCTCCTTCAAATACTGGTCACTGTTGTGATACTCCTTGCCTCCTCCTATTGCCACCTCCTTTGTTTCCTTCAGTAGAGTCTCAAATTGTGGGACCAAATTTAAACCCAAAGAAGGATGCTTCTCAGAACATTTTCTCTGTCCTGCCCCTTATCTGTCTGAAGTAAAAATACAGACAAGAGAACCTGACTTAATGACTGTTGCCCAGACACAAAACACAATGGGAAAAATGGCAGGGGGCAGGACCTATAAAATGTCAGACATTGTGTGTCCTTTTGTGTACACTTTGTTTCGTCTGCCTTGAGAAATTTGGTTTCTGATATCTCACCCCCCAAACTCAGAGCATCTCATCACCTTTCTCATCGAATTAGTACTCAGCATCTTTGGAGCAACTGAACACCGAGGAAGGAGAGATCGTTCAGAAACCTCTTACGCAGTTGAAGCCAGCTTTCCCCATTTGTGGCTCCTACATGCTAATCAGCTCCCCAGGAACCCCAAATCCAATCCTCACCTTCTTGAAATCCTACTGTTTGATGCTGAGGAAGCAGATACTTGGAGGGGATCCAAATCTGGGGCTTGTGTGGGCCAATGGCAACACGTGTAAAAGACATAATCTTGAAAGAGTAAGAGGAAAATGAAAAAAAGACCTCAGAAAGCAATCTCAGGAGGCAAGTGAATCGTTGGTCTGACTTTACGTTCACAGCATGCCTGCTGCCTGCCAAAGGCTGCTACTGTCTTCATCAGGCTGGTCCTACTGTTTTATCATGCTCCACCGCCAGGGAAAGAGATCGCAGATGTATTCCTTTTGTGAAAATTCTCAAACTTAAAGGACTTACTTGCAAATTTATTTTGGCGATTTTTAACACTTTTGTTGATTTTAACTTATAAATAAAAGACAATTAAATAAACTGGAAGAGAAACAGAGCAAAGACTAATCAGCACTCACAGAAGTGTATTACATTATGACTACGGTTAGTCTGGGATACAGCATTCACTTGAAATATATATGAAAGGGAACCTTAGTGAAAGACCTAACTAAAGGGTTTCATAATGTTCCTAATAAGGACACGAAGCACTGTTCAAGCAGTTGCAGGTATGAAGCAAGACAGACTAGCTATGACTAAGAGCAATCAGGGTTCGATACATATGGGCACAATAGCATTGTAGGATAGTTCACTGTTCCCAATAGCTGCTCCCCCTTGTCACTATACATTCATCAAGACAAGTATTTTAAAAAATAATTATAGCTCTGGCTGGGCCAGTGTGTACCAGGCATAACAATCAACAAAGTACCATACAGTTGCCTTTTAAAGAACCGCAATATGATTCTTTTAATGTACATCTCTTTTAAAAAGTAATCCTACTCTACTCCCCTTCTCTGAAAGGCTCTGGGGATTTGAGAAGTGGCAGTGTATGTATCTCCTCCACATTCACGATCTTCCTGCCACATGGTCCAGATTACACTTCCATCCCTCTCTGTCACCACGGTGTTAAGCTAAACATCCTGGTGCAACTTCCATAATCTGATGATTAGGAATGAGGTCAGAAGATGGGTGTTGGTATTGGATGCTATGTACGGTTGTACAGCTGGTACCCGGAACAACAGTGTACCCCAGAGAGTGAATGGGGCTAAAATATGGCCTCCACTCTGCCAAATCATGAGCCTATGACACTGTGTCTGCCCAGTGGGAGCACCTTTTTCTAACTCACTCCAAGGCACTGTATGAGCTAATTGTGGCACTGTCTGCTTACATTTTTCCAGTCTGGCTGGCATCATTATTTCTTGATTTCAGTGAAGGTCCTGTATTTCACATCCTATATAATCTCCAAAAAAAGGAGGTTGAGAGTTCACTGAACCAGCAACAATTTTCTGAATTATCACATTAGTGCAACAACACAACCACGATTCTACAAAGAAAGAAATTTACACAGTAGAAAATAAATACCAAAAATGCAGAAGTAAGATTTTTGACATGTGGATCACTAGAGTTTAGCTTATTTACAACAAAGGCATGCACAACAAACTCACTAACAGGATGAAGTCAACAGTGGCTTTCTATGATGTTATCAAAGATATCTTAGCCTCTTTAAAAGAGGCTGCAAATGAACTGTTTTGATTTTATTTTAAATGAGTCTTATTCTTAGTGTGTTGTTTAAAACCAATCTTCTTTTAAAATGAAGGATAAGAAACCAAATCGCAAATGTCTTAGAACCATGGTATTATGTTTTGGTTTCCTCTTCCAATAGCAACCATTTCCCTCAATTAGCTTATGTTCATCCCAAAGTTGCTGAGTATAAAATTAGTTGATTTTATACAACTCACATTGTGTAAAAGGTAAGATTGGACATTTTCACACTGTCAAGCAACATGCTTTGATTTTAGGAAACGGAATCACATTTGCTCAATAAAGTGTAAGCTTCCCCGCTTTGAAGTCCTTCTTAGAGCGATACGGTTTTTACCACTGCAGGAATCTTCTTTCTCATTAAATATATGCTGTTTTCCAGTGAAATCATGGAGGCACACATCTCCATTCTGAACACTGAAAGAAACACCATTCTTCTCTGTAGAAGTATTCCCTGTATAAGGAAAAACAAAATTGGTGTCATGAAGTATCCACAGACAGCATTTTCGAAATAAACAAACCTAAATGTTACTTTATTCTTAAGTATGCACATGCAGACAAAGTCTTTTTTAAAAACATATTTCTGGGGCTTCCCTGGTGGCTCAGTGATAAAGAATCCACCTGCCAATGCAGGAGACACAGGTTTGATCCCTTATCTGGGAAGATCCCATATGCAACTAAGCCCGTGTGCCATAACTATTGAGCCTGTGCTCTACAGCCAGGGAGCCGCAACTACTGAAGCCTGCATGCCCTAAAGCCCATGCTCCACAAGAGAAGCCCCCACAATGAAAAGGTCACACACTGCAATTAGAGAGTAGCTCCCACTCTCCACAGCTAAAGAAAAGCCTGTGCAGCAATAAAGACCCAGCACAGCACCCCCCCAAAAATTAGTAAAAAATAAAAATAAAACCAAAAGTAGACACAGACAAATGTGAACCAAAATTAGTTCTAGGCAATCTTTATTTTACAAAAATTTCTGATATATAGTCATATTTTATTTACTTTTCATTCCTTTCCTAAGACCACTCAAAGTAAACAAAACAAATTGGAGAATCATTCAAAAACCACTTCCTATGGTAACTTTGTTAAAAATGAGATTGTAAAAATATGAAGCAACGCAATATATTTGATTTTAAAAGGCCCAATTCCTAACTCTGGTTGAACATATACTGCAGTCAAGTATTAGCATATGTGTAATATAATCTGGGGTAATAGTCTGGTCTTCCCCAAAGATTAAGAGAGATCCTGCACAAGGTTCTTGGATTCCTAAGAGTCCTATAAAATAAAACTCTGTAATAGAGAAATCCCGAGTGACAACAGTCCTGGCAAGAAAAAAAATAGTCTCTTGTACACTAAACCAGTCCCTGAGTCAGGATGAGACTGATTTCCAAGAAGAAACCACCAAGTCCAACCTCAAAGTCCAGGCCAGGGGAGCTGGGCCTCCCCAACCCCAAGCAGGCCCTGAATTCTGTGTGTGTGTGTGTGTCTGTGTGTGTGTTGGGGGTGGGCACAGCTGCTGAGATCCTCTAGCTCCTTGGTACCATGTTTCCGACAATGTAGAAAGCTAAATAATAAGCCCAAGTGTTAGTTCATGTTATAATTATACTAATAATAAGAGTGCTGACTGGGAAGACCCAGAGGAATCGGGTGGAGAGGGAGGTGGGAGGGGGGATCGGGATGGGGAATACATGTAAATCCATGGCTGATTCATGTCAATGTATGACAAAAACCACTACAATATGGTAAAGTAATTAGCCTCCAACTAATTTTTTTAAAAAAAAGCACAAACCCTGCAGCCCTCACCCCAAATATTGCCTCCTGTTTCTGGGACAGTGATGACTATCCTGTTAGGTCTCCTGTTGGCCCCCGTCTATTTCATCTCTGAGAGGAGCCAACAGTTTCAAACTAAAGTGCTATATTACAAGGGTGAATGCTAGTTTCATTTAAGGCAAAAAATACCTTGACTTAGATCAGGTAGAGAGACTTCTGTTCTGCTAGGCAGGCCTATGCCCATGCACAGCAGGAAGAAGTTACAGAATAAAGAGACCTCCACCCCAATTCCCAAGAAAAAATCTTGAGTATGAAGTCTCTCAGAGGGGAGTTGTTAGGGGAAGCACACTGATTGAAACCACACACCCTGGCCAGGCACCATAGTAACCATTTGCATGAACTGTTTTATGACAGGAGGTCCTGGTAAGGAATAGGGAACTAATAAGCCTCCACCAACCAGAAGAGTTCAGGAATGGTCAAAAGGAGACACCACCTGCCCGACCACCTCCCAGAATCCTTCTCTCTGGCATCCATCTTGGCTGAACAAGGCGTGCACCACCAGGAAGGACTCTGACTCAGACGGATTGGCTAAGGACAACCCGGAAACTAATCCCATCACCATAAAATCCGAGACTGCAAGCCATGTGACAGAGCAGTTCTGGGTTCCCTTACTCTCCTGCTCTCCGCCCAGGCGCCCTTTCCCAATAAAATCTCTTGCTTTGTCAGCAAAAAAAAAAAAAAAAAAAGTGCTGAGAACTTTATAAGTATCATCTCATTTATCACTCTATGGCATGAGTGCTATTATTACCCCCATTTCATAGATGAAGGAACTAAGGTTTCAGAAAGTAAAAGCTTTGCTCAGGGTTACATGGTTCAGAAGTGAAACAGTCAACATGCAATGTTTCTTTGAAACTGTGAGCTTGTGGCCACGTGTACTGAGTCAGATGGCTGCTAGTAACCCAGCCTCTAGGCTTCCCAGATGGCTCAATGGTAAAGAATCTGCCTGCAATACAGGAGACAGGGGAGGGGAGGGGTGGGGCGGGGGCGGGGGGGGGTGTTTCAATCCCTGGTTAAGAAGATCCCCTGAAGAAGGAATGGCAACCCACTCCAGTATTCTTGCCTGGGAAATCCAATGGACAGAGGAGCCTGGTAGGCTACAGTCCATGGGGTCGCAAAGAGTCAGACACGACTTAGCAACAACTATACCTTAAGCTTCTAAGGCATAACTGAAATATATAGTATTCACACAAACTCGGTGATCGATATGGTTAACAAAGCCCCATCGCTGGGCATAAAGATAGGCAAATGACTGTCTGAGGCTGCTATTCTGAGTTAGGCATTTTGGTTTGAGGACATTTTGGTGCAGGAACAACTTGACCTGGTACAATAAACAAACCATTGACCTTCCAGCTTCTTTTCCCTCATCCATCCCAAATCCTGATGTGTGAAGTGAGGAGTCAAGGAAGTCTATCTGATATGCAAGTTACATGATACTAAGCATGTGGCCATTTTGGTAACTTAAAATGTACCCTACCCTCACTTGTCAGCTGTCGAAAACAGCTGTGTCAAATCAACCATGTCAAATAGCTCTGCAAAAAGTGCTGCTTCCATCTGATCTCATTCCCCGAAGGATGGTAACATACTGATAGACTAGGCAAGCGAGGGTTCATCTCTGAGTTCCTTCTAGAATATGGAAAAATTTGGTTTTAAGAGCCCCAAACACTTCTATCCAAACCAATAGGCTTTACTGATAGGTTGTGATTCTTAGGATTCTTGATGACTTAGCTCACACCTCTGATTTCTCAACTTTGAATCTAGTTTGTCACACAAACTTATTTTTATTTTATTTTATTTTTTTTCATTTATTTTTATTAGTTGGAGGCTAATTACTTTACAATATTGTAGTGGTTTTTGTCATACATTGACATGAATTAGCCATGGATTTACATGAATTCCCCATCCCGATCCCCCCTTCCACCTCCCTCTCGACCCAATCCCTTTGGCTCTTCCCAGTGCACCAGGTCCGAACACTTGTCTCATGCATCCAACCTGGGCTGGTCACACAAACTTATTAACCAGCCTTGATTGCTGCTACATCTACTCTGTTTACCTACATTGAGTCAGTCCTACTATAGCTATTTGACATAAAGCCCCGCTCTGCCCCTGGTATCTACAGTAAAAAGCTAAGACCCCATGGCAGCTCATCTTATGTAGAAATGGTTCTCATCTTATACAGCAAGGGTTCTCCACAAGCAGCAAGGGGCCAATTTTACCCCTCAGGAAACATTTTTTCACAATACTGAGAGACATTTTTAGTTGTCACAACATGGGGTAAGTGTGGGGGTACTACTGGTACCTGGTGGGTAGAGACCAGAGATGTGCTAGACATCCTCAAATGCACAGAACAGCCCCCCAAAACAGAATTATCTAGCCCCAGATGTTAATTGTGCCCAGGCTGAGAAACCCTGATTTAGCGGCATCCTCTTATTTTGCTATTTTAAAAGTTTATACAAACCAGTAAGACCTCCCAACTTTGGGAGGCTGGAAAACTATTTGGTAAGTATATGAACCTTCTCACAAATTTATCTGCATTTATCACACAAATAACTAATACTCTAAAATGATAAGTAAAGGCGAATTCTCCAGGGAAGAGGAAAATATACCAGCATAATTTAAGTTTTTATAAAAATGAAGTAATATTAAGAAGTCAAAGAAGATAGAAATAGATAAGTTTTTATGAGTAATGAACAGCTCAGTCTTATGAAGGAAAGAAAACGTAAAGGAAATTTAAGCTATAAATGTCAGAATTAATGAGTAAATGAGGCACAACAGAAATCATCTGTATGTCTACTGTAGACACAATTCATCTTTCAGTACTGGATATCTTTATGGGGATTTGGGAGTTGTCATGAGGCAGCCACACTGTGGCACAGAATGAACAAGATGATAAACAAAAAATAGGAAGGTTTAGAATGTTGAAGATGTGTATAACTATAGATATACTAAAAAAAACTGATATAGTCTTACTATTTTAGGTACTGACTGCACAGAAAGGACATAAGAAGTCTTTGGGCAATACCTAAGTTAGGATTTGCCACATTAAAACTTTTAGGTCATCATCCATTCTCATCATGAAAAATTAAATCTTTAGGAAAAAAAAACCCTAAGGGGACATATGTATACCTATGCTTAATTCACATCGATATATGACAGAAATCAAACCAATATTTTAAAAGCAATCATCAATCAATTAAAAATAAATATTTCTAAAAACCCTAAATCTTAAAAAAATTTTTTCTCTAAAATGAATAAATTTGGATGAATCAACTTTCTCTTTTACAAGGGAACTACATTTTGATCCAATAGTCATATATGTCGCTATTCACTTTGCTAAGCAAAAGTGCCATTAAAGGATAAAGCTGCTTTAATAAAACAAACACTAACTTGAGAAATAGTACATTGAGACATACATACCATTCCCGCTGGCGAGTCCTGAGCAATCATTATTCACTAGCAGCGTGGTGGAGTGGGTGGAGTTACTGTTTGACTGTAAGGAATTTGAAGAGCTGGAGACACCCTGGTTTACAGTCTGCTTCTTTAAACCATTAGTAGCAGTTTTACTCCAGTCTATAGCAGGATAAGCATAGAAAAACAGGGCAGAATGTTGAAGTGCAAATGCAAGAGACACAGCATAAGTCCTTCTAGGAAATAATCTCTCGCCCTCAGATCTTATAGAGAATTCCACATTTCATACGTATTTTCATTTAAGACTATATACATTTGTCCTTTAAATGACTGACTGGTCAAAAGTAACCTATATTCTCTCAGAACTAAAGGCCAGGCTAATTTGATTGTGTCTATAAATAGCCACTGAATTAGGTAATATTTCAGAGTGAAAGACTATCTTCATAAGAACACAAATCGACCTGCTGTGATGACTCATGGTTCTTAAATCTGGGCAAATGACTGAACTCTAGGTACTGCCATTTTCTGATCTTGTGCAACCAGACCTTTGCAATACAGCAAAGTCTGTATTTGTGGGTGATATTTATGCAAAAGGAATTGAGATTTTCAAAGAGTACTTCATTTTTCTTATTTTCTTAAAAATGATCTATTTGCTATACAACCCAGCAGGGCATAGCTGAAAATAACTTCAAAGTAACCAAATGTATGCTAAGACTTTTATGTAAAATCTGGCCCAATAACAAATAAATGAAGTCACTGACAATCAGGACCTGTGGAGAAAACATTGAGTCAAGATTTTAAAAATTAGGAAGGTAAATATGAAAAATAACTCTGGACAAATGGAAAACATGCACTCAAAGGAAAATGAATTCTAAACATTTCACTGCTGCTTCATTTCAGAAGCAGCCAGCCCATTAATTATATAGCTCACTAAGTTCCCAGATATGACTAATTATTTTTTTTAATTCACCAGGTTTTTTTCTCTAATGTTCACACTGGATATTTTCTGTTGAGCAGGTTCCATTCATTGATTTCTAGATTCAATATTCCTCTGGCATTAATCGCTTTGGATCTTAACTTATGCAATCTCTTCCTCAAGATTTAAGAAAAGGAGAAAAAGGCAAATCTTTACCAGAATTTTCAGCCAGTCGTAACTTTCCACAACAAAGATACCGCCTCCACTGCTTTCTGACATTCTCTTTTGCTACACAGTAAAAGATGAATATGAAAAACCCTATGGGACGGGGGAAACACAACACAATGAATTCCAAACTGAGACCCGAACGTCATGAGCTTACTTCACACAATGATAAAATCTTTGGCAGTGATAGGAAAAATGAAATTTTGCAGATTGAAAATAAAGCCCAAAGTCTTGGGAAAGTTTGCTATCAAAAGGCATCCTGGGAGAACTATCTCTGTAAGATTAAAAAAATATACTTATAAAAAGAATGATCACTCCATATTTCCAAAATTTACCTCACTGTCTTGCCTCTTACATCCTGTCTTAAGCCTTCCCTATTTTTGCCAACAAAGGTCCATATAGTCAAAGCTATGTTTTTTCCAGTAGTCATGTACAGATGTAAGAGTTGGACCATAAAGAAGGGTGAGCACCAAAGAACTAATGCTTTCAAATTGTGGTGCAGGAGAAGACTCTTGAGAATCCCTTGGACAGCAAGGGCATCAAACCAGTCAATCTTAAAGGAAATCAACCTGAATACTGATTGGAAGACTGATGCTGAAGCTGAAGCTTCAATACTTGTTACGAAGAGCCCTTTCAGTGGGAAAGACCCTGATGCTGGGAAAGACCGGAGGCAAGAGAAGGGGATGACCGAGGATGAGATGGTTGGATGGCATCACTGATTCAATGGAGATGAGTTTGAGCAAACTCCAGGAGATGGTGAAGGACACAGAAGCTTGGCATGCTGCAGTCCATGGGGTTGCAAAGAGTCAGACACGACTTAATGACTGAACGACGACAACAATCTTTGGAAGTACAAGCCATCCACCCAGGAGACCAGCTCAGACCTAGGATCAGCCAGCTAAAGAATGTCTCTGGCCATGGAGCTCTACAAGGATTCAGTCATGAGCCACTGCAGTCCCTGACCTTCCACACACCCTGAAAGGATTTCAGGACGGAGATCGGGAATGAGGTGCCTAATATTTTGGGAAAACTGGTAGAACAGGCCTTCACATAATTAGGTATTTTCAGGAGAAAATTTTATAAGGTAGTTTCTTGCATTTTCCCACACTTAAAAAGCACGAAAACCACTAAGACATCTGGGGCTTATGACAAGCAGTAACCTTTTGCCAAGATGTGTGCTTGATTGTATGTATGTCTACCTCCCTCACCGTACCTCTTCTGATCCGTTCTTCAGAGCTACCTGAGCAGGCATCTCCCGAGCTGTAGTCCCCCAAAGAAAATGGGAGCTCACAGCTCTCACCCTGTGCTTTTTTTACGTCCGTCCATGGCTCCCACCTCCCCATCCTTCCATATGTGTCATCGATTTCCAAGTTCCGTCAATGTCGTCCCCTCCTGTCTCTCATCCCTCAGCTCACCTCTTCGGTCCACAGCCACGTCCCTTCCTGGGCCCTCCCTCTTCCTCTCAAGCCACCTCAGACCCCAAGAGGCCCTCAGGCTCTGCCTCCCCCTCCCCACCGCAGGCAGGTGCAGGGCTCCCCATGTGGCCCCCTTGCTACCACTCCTCAAGGCTTTGAAAGCAAATAAATATTAGCTGGATGAATGGACAAATTCTGAGTCCTCCTCTGCCCCAAACCCCAATCTATCTAACCAAAGACCTTCATTTTTAAATATCAGGTTTGCTTTTAGTCAGGTGCACGTGCCCACTCTGAAGACTGACATCTCAAATAATGCATATCTTTGTCCACCTGCCACCCTGGGCAGCTACACTTGGTTGCATTAGGGGAGAAGCAGCACAGACGAGAGACTAAAATGGGGGTACTCGTGGCCCAAATCAGAACCTGTACACATCTTTCCTTTACTCAGCCCCAAAGTCCTGTGAATTAGGGTTTAGTTCCCTTTTACAAATGAAACGATATGTTCCTTCTGTCCATTTGTATTCTAATGAGAAGTCATTCTGGGGAAATAAGAAAGGGGCAGGCTCATTTTCTACCATAAGTATGTGAGGGTAGGTACCATGCTTTCAGGTTTATGATCAGTATGATTTGGGCATATATTTTTTCTCTTTAAAAATAAGTGTCTCTTAGCATGCCATTGTTAGCAAATAAAACTTTTCTACAATAAGTAACACAACACCTGGATATACAAGTTCAGAAACTGTACATTGTAGGTAAAAATGAAGAAATGGTATGTAACCAACAAGCACATTAACTGGCTTCCTCCAAATAAAATAAGAACCAGTAGCCAAATTAGGCATTTGAATTCCATCTCAAGTTAATGAACTACTGCCTAGATAGTACTACAGGAGGATGCTATGGGAGCTAAAAGCCACCAGGAAAAGATGAAAACAGGCCGATGAGAATGCAGTTAAAAGGCTTCCCAACAGAAGATTTGGAATAAAAGACAACCAAGGGATAAGAATGCTTATTATCAGTTCAGTTCACTCAGTCATGTCGGACTCTGCAACCCCACAGACTGTAGCACGCCAGGCTTCCCTGTCCATCACCAACTCTCGGAGCTTGCTCAAATTCATGTCATGGCATCCAACCATGTTATTTATGCAAATCTATTAGTTTGCTTGGCTTTTAATGTCAAGGTGTGTTCATTAAATATTAGTCACAGCTGACAACTCTTTGACAAAGCTGATCTAAAAGAATGAGTGTGGTTCCCTGGTGGCTCAGTGGTAAAGAATCTGCCTACAATGCAGGAGACATGGGTTTGATCCCTGGGTCGGAAAGATATCCTGGAAAAGGAAATGGCAACCCACTCCAGTATTCTTGCCTGGGAAATCCTAGGACAGAGGAGACTGGTGGGCTACAGTCCATGGGGTCGCAAATAGTAGGACAAAAGCGTCAACAAAAGAATGAGTAATTTGCTTTTGTAAAGAATACAGAGGAAGAGGGTTCCCAAATGACTGCAGCTGGGCTTCATTAAATGGGTAGCTCCAAGGTCAAGGGCCACACACAGAACCTGGCTTGTCTGCTGTATGTCTAGACAGAGGAACTGCACAGGGATTAGCCACTGGGCCAGGCTGCTGCCACTGACTTCTCGCTTATCACTGTCCTCAATCAAATGCAGGCAGAGTAGCTCAGAGTGGTGAGACCTCACGGGGACATTTATGGTATGTGTACTTTTCCATATGCATGTTCTATTATACTTCAATAGCAAAATTAAACATAAAAAAGATAAGGAACCAGGTGAAGGAAGAGCGATTGACTGTCCCAGAAATAGTTACTGGTAGGTTCCCCTTGATATCTTTGCTTGCTCCCAGGAGGCAGTGATGTTAAGGAGGGAAAGTGACCACTTCTTGAATTTAGTGAATTTAGCCTTTCTTCCAAGGATCTCAGAGCACCCTTTCTCAAAGATAAATCTGTTTTTTATTTTACTTATATATATATTTTAAATTGGAGTATAAATGCTTTACAATATCATGTTAGTTTCTGCTGTACAACAATGTGAATCAGCCAGATGAAGATATATGCTGCTGCTGTTTAGTCACTAAGTATTGTCTGACTGTTTGTGACCCCATGGACTGTAGCCCACCAGGCTCCTCTGTCCATAGAATTCTCCAGGCAAGAATACTGGAGTGGGTATCCATTTTCTTCTCCAGGAGATTTTCCCAACCTAGAGATCAAACCCTTGGCAGGCAGATTCTTTACCACTGAGTCACCTGAGAAGTCCATGTATACATATAGCGAAAGGGTTAGTCGCTCAGTCATATCAGACTCTTTTCGACTTCATGGACTGTGAGCCCTCCAGGCTTCTCCGTCCATGGGATTCTCCAGGCAAGAATACTGCAGTGGGTTACCATTTCCTCTTCCAAGGGGTCTTCCCGACCCAGGGATCAAACCTGGGTCTCTCACATTGCAGGCAGATTCTTTACCATCTGAGCCACCAGGGAAGCCCTACCAATACATATACCCCCTCCCTATATCTTAAGCTACTTTGCAGACACTCTTAACTTTTACTTGCAATATTTGTCAGTTCGAATGAGTCATCCAGTGTTTATTTTTGCTGTAGAGCTTACCTTGTAAGGTATTGAAGATGGCAAAGAGATACATGAAGGTGACATTAACTGGTCCCCAGGCAAAGAAGGCAAAGCCCCAAGTAATTCCTAGTAAAAACGTAAGGCCAGCGACACTCCTGAGGTCTTGAATACTGGTTTTCCTCTGGGCTCCCAGTTGCTTCTTCCTTTTAATTCGACAAAGCTGAACCAGGACCACAATGAACATGCTGACGTTCAGCAAAAATATCACACAGAAATACCCCACAACCGTGATATAGAATACAGCATTGCTATTGATCCAGCAACTGGAATTGGGGGGAAAAACAGGGAAAACATATGTTTTGTTTTTTTCTTGCTAAAATATGGTTTAAAATGGTAACAATGAACCTATATTGTTTTACTGAACATTATCCTACAAGCACAAAATTTAAAAAAGGATAAAACCTCCAATCTCCATAGCCACTTAACAGCTCTAGGGGAAGAAATCCAAGAGAGTTTATTTTAGGAAATCTGGTGATTGAAAGTATTTTAAAAATATTATTTGAAAACACTAAAAGATTTTATCCTCTTTCAATCCTAGTAAGTCTACTCCATGAATTTTACTAATATAGTGTAGCTTGTATTTTTTTTTATCAGAGGCTTATAAAAGTATTTTTGAAATATAATTCATTTTTTACATACTTAAGTAGTAGCATGACTTTTCTAACTAGCAGATCTCTTTACATATATAACTGCAAAGTCTGCTGTAAATATTACTGGATTTTATTAGGATGAGAGCCACCTGATATGCTGATTAGATCCTCCATTTTCTTGGAGAATTCTGCTTTCCAGTTCACTTAAAATTTCATGTGGGGCTTTGTACTCACAAGTCATCAGGCGACCCATTGGGGAATTTCCCATAGGATCCAAGCCCATAGTTATCTGGAGATATAATCAGGACGATGGTCACAACCACAGCCGGGATGCCTGGAAGATAGGAAACACTGATTACACATAGTTCTAATAACTACAGGTGGTGAGAAAAAAGAGCGGAAATTTTCTGTTTTCTTCTGAAATAGCATAGCTATTCATCATACCCAGTTTCTCTGCCTCCCGGCATGTAGGTGTATGGGGCCACCTGACTAGGTCTTCTTGTCCAGTGGACTATGGACAGAAGTGATTTGCTACCCCTCTAGGCCTAGACCATAAAATCCTTGTGAGATTCTCTACTTTTTTCCCCAGTTCAGGGCAATCTTGGAAGCCCTGTCCTGAGACAGAGTCTCCAGCAGCTTGGATCCTGAACAACCACAGACCAGAGACCCCTTCCACTCCTGCTACCTGGATGGCACATGAGTAAGAAGGAAATGGCAACTCACTTACCCTTACCCATCTGTAATGTAATTTTAAGGGTCAGGTGGCAGGCAAAGTGAAAGGACTCCAAAATGTAAACCAAAGCATCAACCTAGTTTGGTTACCAGCAACTTCTGGAAAACCTTCCATTATGAGTCCCAAAGTCCTGAACTGATTATCTGGAATCTGCTGATGGACTGAGAAGCCTGCCCTGGTTATTTGGGGGTGTTGATTGCCACCACTGGCTCTCTCAAGGGCCCAGGGCACTTCCATTAACAGGAAGCATAATGAGGAGTCTCCTCCTTCCTTACAGTGGCCTTGCGCTGAGGAGGAGTCCTTTTCAGCCCTCCACCCCATCATCCCCCACCCCATGCCATCTCACACTCTGTGCACACAGACCAGCCTGACATCCAATCTCAAGGCTCTGGTAAATAAAAGACAGCTACCTGGTACCATCTAACATGATATTTCATTAAATTCTTTTGTATTTGGACATTATGGAGACATTGACATATGGTGACTTTCTAAGGGAGGCTCCTTCCTAAAAATAAAATATTGAGGGTGTGGAGCTTGATCCTGACAAGGGAACCTGACGTTTCTGAATTCTACAAAGAAGACAAAATCCATGCCCAAGATCAGAAGCAGTGACTTATTTTTCTGGGAATAAGTGACTTATCTTCTAGAAAGGTGTTGTTCTGTACCCTTCACAAAGATATAACAACAGGCAGGATGATAAGGGAGGTAATCTGTTGTGTAGGGAATATGTGAAGGTATATCTAGCCTGAGGAAGATGAAGGAGTCTGAGAGGAGTGGCAGCTGTAATGCAGTGGAAAGGTATGCCTAAGAAATTAGAAAGCCAGCCTAGGCTGTTCTTGAGCTGTGGGAATTAGGGTAAATCACGTCTTCACCCGGTATTACCAATAACCACCCACACCTCGGGGCCTTCAGGATCCTAGTTCCTTTACCAGGGATTGAACCCAGGCCTCCCGGCAGTGGAAGTGCAGAGTCCAAACCACTGGACCGCCAGGGAATTCCCCTGGCTTATTTTTTATGGGGTTACTTGTGTGAAAATACATCGAGACATAAAGTATTATACATAATGTTATATATTACTTGTTGATTATCTAAAGGACTCTTCAGCAGAAGTGTCAGCTTATTTTTTTCTCCTGAGAGAGCAAAACTAAGACCGCTGGGTAAGTGCTACCAGAGAGCCAAGTGAACTTAATGGAAATTCAGAACTGTAGAGCTTTAGAAAATGGTCACAGGCTGTCTTGTAAGCTATTAAAAATAAGACAACGGGTCCAAAATCAAGTTGCTTATGCTAGCCACAGTTCACCAAACTGAGACTTAACTCCATCACAGCTTTGGCTCTCCCAGAAATGGAATCTTAAACCAATCAATCAAAAATTGCCTAATCATCACTAGTTAGGTAACCTGTCTGAGAGAACCTGGAAATCCCCAGAGCAAAGTAAGCTTGCAATAACCAACCCGCTTTTTTGCCCAGAGTGACTTCCTTGTTCCTGCTTCCTTCTGCCTATAAAGTCTTTCACTTAGTACAGCTCCTCAAATCTCCTTTCTGGCTGCTAGACGGGATGCTGCCCAATTCATGAAGTATTCAATAAAGCCTGTAAGATCTTTCAAACGCACTCAGTAGAATCTTGTTTTTAATTAAAGTAATGAGCTCCCCAATAATAGAAGTATTCAAGCAGAGGTCTAATTATCTCTAGTCAAAGATAAGTCAAGTCCAGGAGGTTCCTACATTTGGCGGGGAGTTGAATGAAGAACTCTTCAAGATCTTGGGGCATCTAAGATTTAGTGACCAACAACCAACAGGTGGCATAATCAGGAATACTGAGCTGGTGTGGTGATGAAGTTACATTAGACTTTATCTGTATGTTCTCTCTCTGCCCTGCTGAACACACAGTTGTGCATGTGTGTGAATCTGGGAGGTAAAGAGCAGAGTGAGGCTAGCTGGGAACTCAGGGACTGACAGTTTGACCTCATTATCACCAACCTAATATTTTCAATTGACTGAGCACCTTCTGTGTGCCAGCCTCAGTTCTAGTCGCTAGAGATACAAAATAGATTCACAGCCCTAACCTCAGTGTTGTGGTCATAACCAATCCAACATAAATATACAGGTGTTCTAGAAATAGACTCGACGAGGCTGCTCTTTGGGCAATGAAACATGAAAAGAAGAATAAAGTTGTTTTAGAAACCTGCCAAGTGTGACCTGCTTCATTAATGTCTCTATCTGATTAAAAATCAAAACACTGGAGGAAAAGCAGGAAAAGCCCAGGCAATGTGTGAATAAAAATAATACATACCCCAACCAAAAATGCAGAATTTAAGGATGTATTTTCGGATGTAAGTATTAAACACTTTGACAAGGGCCAGGTACATATGGAATGCTTCCAAGCCCATCCATGTGAATGAGACCAAGAGAAAATAATGCAGAAATACAGCCACTGAGATGCAGAGGCCTCTTATGTCATATAAAGCAATCCACGAGTCCAAGAGGAACACCAGGTTCAGCAGGAGCAGGGCTGTGCACAGCTGGATGAGGATTTTGGAAGGGTAATCCCTCCGGATCTTTCTAAAAGGAAAGGACAAGAAAACAATTAGCATCACAGCCTGCTGATGCTTATGTGAGCTAGCATATCTGAGTTCAAAGTGATTTATTTTTATTCTTTGGTGATTGTCTATATGCATAAATTTCTTCTCTTTAAGTGCATGTCTGTATGTGTGTGTGTGATGGGTGGGTGGAGGCATTACAACTAAAGATAGCAACAAAGGAAAAATCTAAACAGAATCATCTGTGATAACCATGTAGAAATTTTATATTTATATTTCTATGGAATCTTTAACATGCTGACTACTGACCCACCCTTTCAAATAGTATGTAGTAGAATCTCATGAGCACCCACCCCCATTTCTCCCAAACTCCTTCTGGAAGCATTGCTGCTTCTCATATAATAGGCTCCTCTATTCAGATCTTCAAAACAGAGCCAGATTCTTCTGTTATTTTATGTTACTAGTTAGAATGAGATCATGGAAACAAGAGTTCAAACTATAGCTAAATGAAACAGGCAGAGGAAAATACAGCTAATTGATGACATGTACATGTTTACGTGTGTGAAATTAGATCTGGTGAGATCATTCTGAGTAATGGCTGGCCTTATAGTAATTTAGTCTCATTAATCATCCTTCCAACGGTACACTGGAAGATCTGTACTCACAGCTGGACCCTAAGTTTGGCACTAAAAGTGAATTTGTACATTTCCTGATTAGTGTCCAAAAATCTAAATCCCAGAACTTATATACTGTTTCATTTAAAAAAGCAGGGAGGGGGGGTTTCATGGTAGTTCAGCTGGTAAAGAATCTGCCTGCAATGCAGGAGACTCTGGTTCGATTCCTGGGTTGGGAAGATCCCCTGGAGAAGGAAATGGCAACCCACTCCAGTATTCTCGCCTGGAAAATCCCATGGACAGAAGAGCCTGGTGGGCTACAGTCCATGGGGTCGCAAACAGTCAGACAAGACTGAATGACTAGGCACAAAAAATGTAAAAAAGTGCCTATATTTCCTTCTTTTCTGACAGAATTTATTGGAATCCCCCCTGCCCCTGCAAAGTGACCAAAGGGACCATCTGGTAAGCCAAGGAGATGCTATCATCTGGAATATCATTATTTCTTTGCTACAGAGCTGCATTCAATTTGTATCTATATTTTTCATGGAGGATTGATATCCTTTATTCTTCTTCATCCCCACACCCATTAATGTATTTAATCTTTTGTGTTTACTTGGTATAATTTAGAAACTTAATATATTAAACACAGCTCTCCTGCTGTATATGGAGTTATGGCCTGTTTCACATTGTAAGCTCTTGTTTTTTGGACTCTGCATCTATCTTTCATTTCTCACTTAATGTCAGCTAGGTACCAAGCATCATTTTAGGGTACAAGGATGATTAAGACACAATTCCTGCCCTCAGTGAGTGTACAAACTACTGGAAGGAAGTATGTAAACCAAAATCCCATGAAGTTTCACATATACATGGCCCCACTAGAGGGGTGGACAGGGTAAGCTAGGCCAAGGAGCATACTTATTTAATACATTTTGGCTACTGAGGTGACCACTACATCATATAATCCAGTTTCCAGTTGTGGATACTCACTCAAAGGCTATGTAGGTTACAAGAGTAACTGACAAAAAAATTGATGAAAGCCCACAACCAATATAGGTAATAAATGTTAGGGCCATCATCTGAGCTGGTGGCAAGGATGTTCGAGACAAGTCCTGGAAAAGAAAATATTGCTTTCAAGACCAAATATTTTAAAATAAATGACACGGTTATAACTTACATTATTGGGTAGTCTAAGATTGTTCAATAAGCCTACAAGGTAGGCACAATTATTATCATCCTGTTGAGATATAATAAAAAATGAGACCCAAAGAGGTTAAATAATTTGCTCAGGGTCACAAAGCTATGAAGTAGAGGAGCCAGAATCCAGGTCTGGTTGACTTCAAAGCCCATGTACTTGATCACTACATTATGGTGCTCTGCAGAAGCCCTAGCCTAAGAGCCTATAAAACGTGAATTTGACTTCTGGCTCTTATATTTCTTAGTTCTACGACTGTGGACAATTACCTCACAAACGAGTCTTTAAAATGACAATAAAAATACCCCATTCTACCTATATTGTAGGATTGTTGGGGAGATTAAATAAGAGAATTTATGTAATGTTTTATAAAAATTTTAAAGTACACTGCCAACTAAACCATTTTTATTACCCATTTTAATCTGAATTCCCTAGCCCTACTATAGCTATTTTTAAAAGAACTTAAATGTAAAATTAGAATGAGAAAAAATACTTTTCAAATATTTTTCTTCAAGTATATATGCATATTAGAAGAGTCACTTCATTGGTCTTTAACTTTGCCACAGTATCATGAAATCTGCTGATCCATCAAATCATCCACCAGATAGACTTCACAGTACAATGCCCAGCTATCCCTCAGACCCAGAATCTAAGGCCAGGCAAAGTGGGGATGTTACCAGCAGAACGCCGAAGCTTGTAAGATGGCTGCAGGTACAGGTGGTCTCGTTCAGCCTCCTGTCTTTGACAGAGCAGCCATCAGATGACCAGCCTCCTCTGCCACCTAGGGGGCATGAGAAAGAGTGTCTGTCCCTGCAGAAAGGCCACTGCACCCATCACTGCTCCTTCCTCCCCATTCCCCCTCCCCACTCAAGACTTTGAAAAAGTTAGGTCTGGAACCTACCATTTCTGCCCAAGTCCCAAAATACACATCTCACTGTTAAGTCATCCTGTAACAGAAGGACACATTACCAATAATTTATCCAACTGAATAAAACTGAAGAGCAATTAGAAAAAAATGACATTTGAACATTCAGAATCTCATTCTTGATTTTAGGGGAGTTCTTATTTTATACAAGTCTCTAGAAGTCAGTGAGTCTCATATAGGTCAACACTTTTTCACCTCAGCCATCATGCGCAGCAATTGCCTTGTCTTAAAAGGCACATTCTGATTCACTGGGTCTGGGGTGGGCCCAAGAGTCTGCATTTCTAGCAAGCTCCCAGGGGAGACTGATGCTGCAGGTCTGAAAACCATACCCTGAGCAGCAAGGTCATAGATGATGCTCAGTGAACTGGACCTTGCAAGATGCTTTCTCTTTGGAGGTGAGAATCAGACCTGGAGCCACAGATCTAAATGCACTGAAAATTGGCAATAAGAGCTTGCTTTTTACACTGCTCCTTCCTGGAAAGTGTAGGAGGGCAGTTATTAGGCATGCTCAAACCCTATGAGCATGATTCTAGTCTCACACACAGCCCTAACTGGGTCTAAGGTGCTGTTGGACCGACTTTTTTCAGGCTAAGTTGTACAGGCAGAGTTTGCATGAGGTGTCTCTGGTCAAGGCACAGACCAGGCAGGCCCCTCCCACCTGGCTCGGGTCGATATGCTTTAAGGTAACCGTCACGTTTCTTGTCAAGTTCTTGACTGTCAGGTTCGCAACACTTGAGGAAATGACATAGCTGATCAGAGAGAGGTTCTCCAAGGCAGGGTCCTAGCACACCAAAGAATCAACAAGATGGCAAGAGAAAATGAAATGTTATCAGACAATTTAGAGTTAGAAGGGACCCTAAGGACTATTTAGTCAACATTGTTTATTTTACTACCTAGGTCAGGAATTCAGGGACAAGGAGTAAAGTGACTTCTCCAAGGACCATAATGAGAAGCAGAGCTTGTTCCACTATACTATGCTCTAAAAACTGAGTTAAATTTCACAGATTGACACGAGACCCTCATGAATCTCAAAGGGAACATTACATTAAGCCATTTAAACTGTGCGTTCCTTACCTAACCTCTCTATGCCTCTACGTCCTCATCTGTAAAATGGGGATAATAGTTTAATAGTTTCTCCCTCATGGAGTTGTTGAGAGGATTAGAGTTAACATTTCTAAGTGTTTATGATACTGCACAGCAATTGATAAATACTTTGTGTTGGTTATTGTTATTTATCCTCAACAGCATCATGAGGTCCTGTTTAAAAATAAACTACAGCTTTTCAGCAATCCATCTGACTTATAGTAGACTTACGAATGGGCTTCCCAGGTGGCACTAGTGATAAAGAAGCTGACTGCCAATGCAGGAGACCTAAGAGATGTAGGTTCGGTCCCTGGGTCAGGAAGATCCCCTGGAGAAGGGCATGGCAACCCACTCCAGTATTCTTGCCTGGAGAATCCCATGGACAGAGGAGCCTGGCAGGCTACTGCCCACAGAGTTGCAGAGTCAGACATAACTGAAGGGACTTAGCATGCATGCTGGCTTAAGAATATTGGAGGATTATAAGAAATAAAACTCCTCCAGTCTCCCCAGAATCTAAACCAAGAGCAATTAGAGGCAACTTTACCTGAAACAGGGCAGGAGTTTCAAAAAAGTTGAACTGCACCCTGGAAGCCAGCTCCAGAGCATCAGCTGCTAAATGACTCATCAATGATGAAGGCAAAGTAATAATGCCAATACTGTTCTCAGGAGCTTGAGCGTCCAGAGAAACCTGAAAATGAAGTAAAAAAAAATTATAAAAATGTCTGGGGCTCGTATAATGAGGAGAGGAAAAACACAAGTAATTAAGATGGAGGGTCCTATAAGGGCATGTATTTGTGGTGTCTCTATGTACAATTGGTTCTGGTTTCTCTGATTACTATGGAATTAGAGGCTGTGTAGGGAGACGTGATAGGGAGATGAGGCCTTGGAGCAGGAGAGAAAACATTTTATGGATACAGGATACACAGAAACAATCAGAAAATGCAGGATATTATATGTCAATTATATCTCAGTAAAGCTGGGGAAAAAATAAAGTTCAGGATAACTGCAGAGCCCAGGGAGTAGCCAACACACCAACTTAGTGACCTGTTAGGGCAAAGTCATTGTAGAACCACATGCACAAAATTTGTAAAGGGAAGACTACAAAACGAAGTTAAAAGGCAAGACTTGGTTTTACTCGCATGTTTTCAGCAGCCCCACCCACCCATCCGTCTAATAGGTAGATAGAAAACACTAGAAGCAGGATTGATATTCAGCACCACTATTTCAATAGCTTAAAATATTGAAATAGGTTGAAAAGTAGGGACACATTTGGTGTCCCCGCTCTCTCCCAACTGCCTAGAACCCACTGGACACTTCCGCCACATCCCCCCAAACTTCCACAATCCAGTTGCTAAAGGGTTAACACTGGGCGCAATAAGGACCTCTGAGATCTTGCTCCAGCCTATGTCTTTCTTTTGATTCTGTGATGCCTCATTGTTCTAGATGCTAAATATTTTGAATATCACCCATGGGTATAAACAGTAATGGCCTTAATCATGAAGTACATGAGGACTATAATCATATAAGAGAAAAGGTCTTTTCTACAATAAATTAGGATGTACCTGAAGATTTGCAGGGTCTTGGGCAGCAAAAGTAGTTGTGTCAAAATTACTGGCATTTACTCTGATCACGGCCAGAGCCAAAGAAGGGGAGGTCAGACTTATGGATTTGGTTGAAAAATTCAGCTGTAAGCCAATGTCATCCACTACTTTTAGCAATCTGTAAAGAGAAGTAGCAGTTCAAATTCAGCACTCCGACTGAATTGTTCTCCCCAGTGGAAGCAGAAAAGCAACTTAACAAGTCATTATGAACCTCATAAGTGGGAGAAAAATACTTGGGTATAATTAATCATCTAGAAGCATCATTATTATTAGAAGATTCCCTCTCATGACCACATCAATGTGCTAAGTCATACCTTTGGGCCAAAGGGGCCAACAAGGTGGGCGGAGAATGAAGGAGTCGGCTGACTTGGTTTATCATTTGTCCTGCAAGGTTAGGCTCCAAGCTGCCTAAGGACAGAGCCCGCTCCATCCGGGACACTTGGTTCTCAAGATCAGAGACACTGATGCTGCTGGTGTGAACAATTTCTATAACAAGAGAACCAAATCACTTTGTGAACACATAATGGAAAAATCACTCATAAAGAAACATACATAGACTCTGTGATCTGGAAAACCCAACCGTAGGTATTTGCCCCAGGGAAAGGAAAACATCTTCATAAATGTTATAGTAGGCTCTTACCAACAGTGTAGGAGGGTTCCCTTTTCTCCACATCCTCTCCAGGATTTATTATTTATAGACTTTTTGATGATGGCCATTCTGACTGGTGTGAGGTGACACCTCACTATAGTTCTGATTTGCATTTCCATGATAATTAGCAATGATGAGCATCTTTTCAAGTGCCTACTGGCTATCTGTATGTCTCCTAACAAAGAAGTTGCTTAATTCCACCACCTAACATCCTATTTCTTATTTTGCATATTCCTTTCTAATCTTTATCCACATGATAAAACACTATTATAAACATGATGTGCAAACTAAATATTTATTTTTGCGTTATTTTCACTTCACTCAAGACTTAAAAAATGCCCCAAGTTTCTGTCTAGCTGTTTATGCACAGCTGCATAATAGACATGCTACTGAGGTGGCATATCATATTTCATCATTCCTCTCTTGTGGAATTAAAAAAAATCTCAAGCCATTTAACAGAGGCTCCAGATCTCCTGGACAGGCTTGCCTGAGGCAGAGGAGGCGAGAACACAAGCTCCAGTCTCATGTCTCCAAGAATTTCACTTTGCTTCACCCTCCAAATTCTAGGGGAAGACCTAGAATTCATTCACTGGACTTAAACTCCAGAGATTATGCAGAATTCTCTCTGCTTCCTTCCCTCTTCCCTTTATCCTTTTACTCTCAAGAGTACTTTGTGTCCGGGATCCTGGTGCAGTTTCTGTGGCATTCTCATATTCACTATTATTCCAAACCTATGTGCTTAGTGTGGTTATTTCCATCTTGAGGTAGACCAGGCTCAGTCAGGAGGAGCTAAAACGCTTATTCCAAATCCCACCACCTGTGAGGACCTAGGCAGACCTGCCCTGAGGTCTTCTGAACGGGTCTTCCCCTTCTCAGGCTACTCTGGCTCATTGCCAGCTTTGGCATTCTGTGCCATTTCAAGAACATCAATTTTTTTCTTTTGTTTTCTGTCTAAATGGAGTTCCTGCTTTTAATGGTTCAAAACTGGTCTCTTCAGAATGTTGAAAACAGCGATCCAATCACCTTTTGCAGGAGAAAGAAACCTGTAAAATAACTCATCTGGATAAAATGAGATCTGTGTTTGCCTCAGAGCTATTTATCTTGGCCAAACAATCAATCTCAACTCTATCTGTGTTCTATGAATGCCCAAAGGAAAGCTCTCAAAATCAAGCAGACATCATAAAAAGAAAGGCTTAATGTGATCTCATTGCAGATACCATGATTTGGCAGGCTGGCAGCTGGGTTTCAGGTGGCTCGAATGACAAAAATATGGGAGCAACATGGCTTGTCGTATTTACCTGTCTTGTCAGGAGGTATGCCAGTCGTGTTGACGTTCACAGTGGCAGATGTGGTGGGAGAGGGGGCTGAGGACTTCCCACGGGGCAGGGTGAGGGGAAGATCAGGTGGAGGCTTAGGGGAAGAGACAGTTCCAGATGGCAGGGGCATATCAATGGCTGGGCTGGAAGTTATGGGAGCTGAAGGCTGGGGAGAAGGTAGGGGAATCACCCCTGTTGGAGATTGAGGGCTCTGGGTTACAAGTGGATGAGCTAGAGGCTCAGCAAAAGAGAAGGCACTAGAGATCTGGGACACAATGGTGGCCTGAGGAGCAACTGGGATGGCATTGCTGGAAGAAGAGAATGGTGGGCCGTGTGGATGACGAGCGAGACACACAACGGGATCCTGCAGGTCACTAAAGGCAAGAATCAGAGAGATGCATATGAGACACAAACGAGCTACAGAGGCTAAGCTCTTCTTGTGGCAACCATGTGACACCACCAAGGCGACACAGCTCCATCAGGGACTTGCCTTTGCAGACCCTCTGTGTACCTGCCACTGGTCTCCTGCCCCTGCCCACTTCCACCACTTTCTCCCCAGGAGAGGAATTAGCCAGGAAGGATGCTCTTTTTTGAATTCACAGTTCTGCTTCACTTGTTCACTGCTACTTCCTGATTCTACACCTCATCACTTTTCAGTCAGTTGAGAAGACCATGTACCACTGCCAGGTACTTCTTGGGAAGGTGCTATTGAATGCCCTGCAACCAAACTGGTGGTTTCCATATACTAGGAGTCTGTCTTTGGTGGGCTTTTTAGATTTCACAAAATTTATTCTTAAAAAAAAATGGAATCACAGGCCCAAACTGTTTCAAACACACTTAAAATTTTTCTAAAATTGGAATCAAATACCAAAATATCATTTTAATATTCAAGTCCACGCTGACAAAACTGGCTCATCATTTTTAAGACAACTGATTTGACTTAGAAACTAAAGCATACCCATTTCAAAACTATGTGTGTCCATCCATAATAGATAAACTAACTCACTAACTCATGTGTCAACTCAGTATTAACACTGAGCTCAAAAGGGTAAAGAGTAAACTTAAAAGCAGCTCTAAATTAGTCAGTAACAATAAAATGTTCTTCAATTTTTTCTTACACTTTTTACAATCAAAGTACATAATTCTGTTAATTACAATTACAATCTTCTGCATATTGCTCAATAGAAAAATATGTAAAAATAATTATTATTGATTTGTACAGTGGAGTTTTTAATTTCAGCAAATTCTCATATTGGTCTTGGTGGTTCACAAATAAGCTTTGCCTTTCCAAAAAACTTCAAATTTAAGTCATTCACATGCATTGGTGACACTGGCTGGGAAAGGTAAATCACACAGCCATTTTTTTCTTCAACTTATTGAATTTCGTTTCAAGAAAATCTTGAGTTGGAATTAACAATATACAATTTTATGTGAAACTGATGAGCATAGAAATCTGCCAGAATCAATTTTATACTGCATAGCCTGCCAAAGTACTAACTAGCACACAGTACCTGATGAAGAAATGTTGCTGAATGAAAAAAATGAATCAAGCTGGGGCCAAAGGGGTGGTCCCAGCTTATACATCAGCTACACCCTTAATGTTACTTTAGCCCAGTGGTTCCCAACCTTGGCTGTGCCTGAGAATTACCCAGAGGACCTTTTAAAAATTAGAGATTTCTGTGGCCTTCTCCTCAATGTCTGATTCAGTTGGTCCTGAGGTGACGGTGAAGTCTCCTGATTGGATCCTGAAGCTTTCAGAAATTCCATCTCCCAAGTGGGGTTCAGCCCTCCATCTTAATGGGGTATATTAAGCTTAAAACTCAAGTACTCTTTACCTTTTATTACATAAAATGCTACATATCCTTAACTAAAGTTCTTTAGCTACTCCTAGGAGCCTAATGTTTCAATATATCCCAGAAATTTGGCCCACAAAGGGAAGACAGGCTACATTTAGTCTTTTATTCCCATATGAGAAGTTTCATATTGAAAAATGCATGTCCTTTTTTAAAAAAATACAAGTTTCATCTGATTGTAGAAAAGTATACAAAATGCTGCAAAGAAAAAAAAAATAAACAAGAAAATGACCATCCAGCAGGCAGGCCAATCACTGGGAACTCTTGTGAGCAATTTCATTCATTCAATTCCTGGTTTTTTCTATGTATATTTTCATACACTTTTGATCACACCATCCATGACTTTTGGAATCATCTACTATTTTGAAGAATCCATCTCCCTCCTTTACCTCCACTGAGGCAGAGGTTAAGGTAGTGATTTGCAACTTCAGTTGCCCATTAGAACCACCAGGAAAGTTTTTAAAACTCTTAATCCCTAGGCTATGCCCCAGATTCATTTAACCAGAATTACTGAGGGTGGAGACTGGAAATCAAAATTTTAAAACATTTTTAATTTGAACTAATTGTAGGCTTACAGAAACATCGCAAAAATAACACAGAGATTCATACACTCCTCACCCAGCTTCCCCCAATGTTAACATCTAACATCTGCAGTTTAACCCAAATAGTTACCAAAATTTAGCATATGACAAAGGTGACATCTCAGATCACTGAGGAAAGGGTGGACTTTTTAAAAGATGGTGCTGGGACCACTGGATAGACATTTGGAAAAGATTAAATTACACCCATGCCTCCCACCAAATAAGAATAAATTTCAAGTGGATCTAATGTAGAAAAAAATCATACAAGTACTAGAAAAATACAAAGATGAATTCCTCTATAACTAGGTGTGGGGAAAGGCTTTCTAATAATGCCTCCAAATCCACAAGCAATAAAATAAAAGATTGATAAAATTTAAGTACATTTAAAATTTTTATTTGCATAACAAAAACATCATAAACAAAGTCAGAAGATAACTGACAAACTGGGAGAAAATACTTGCAACATACACCACAGACAAAGGTCTACTATCCACAATATATAAAGTTCTCTTAAAAACTGATTAAATATCTAGTGGGAAAAATACATGAACATACAATTCACAGAATGATACAAAAATGGCCCCAAATATATGAAAAAAATATCCAAACAGTTTTAATAAGGGAAGTACAAATAACATTAAGATACTATTCCTCATATACCACACTGGAAAATTTTTTAAATATGAGGACACATTCAGTTGGTGAGGCTTGGAAGGCAGAATATTTTTAACATTCCTTGGGTGATTCTAGTGTGCAACCAAGATTGCAAATCATTAGTTTAAGGCAACAGAAACTTCATACAAAAGAAAACTGCTTTTTTTCCTAAAATTGAAAACCCTTCTTCACCATCAAAATTTCGAAATTCCTTAGCCACCATGGTGGTTAAATTATTATTATTATTATTATTAGGAAAAGGGTCAGCATATTTGCTACATACCACTGCAGTTTCTTTACCTCCTCCAGGGAGGAAGGGCAGGGGGTCCTGGCAGAACAGCAGCACTGTTCTGGAGGAGACAAAAGGAAAAGAATGAAATGCAAGGTCAAGAACAAGGCAAGGGAGAAGCTCAGATCCTTCAAGTATTACAGTTCTCACACTGATGGCATTTTAAAGAACTTAAGTCTAAAACAGATGATAAAATAAATTGGATTCCATCATATTGACAATTATATATAAATAGTAAGTGCTCAAAATACTTATTGAATGAATAATATTGGGTTGTATGCAGTATCAATTGCTCTTCAGCAACTTCTAAGAGAAATTCAGAAGTAAATATATCCCAGCAGCAATCAATCGAGCACTCCAAATAGAATTCTCCATCTCAATAGGGTTGTTTTATTCTGATTTCCAAAACAGTATACTGAAACTTTACTGAGAAAGCAGGAAAAAGCACCTTTTAGAGCTCCCTAACAACTGCCCAAGGACAAAAGACTCAAAACAGAAAGTTGTAACATATGTAAATTTATTCATTATATTTTCGATTTAAAAAAGATTACATCAAAGTCATGTGAAAATGAACACAGCCATAAAGATAGAGACAACTTACCCATCGGTCGAATCTTTACTGTTTGGAAAGCAACCATCACAGCACATATGTTCATTGTTTTATTCAATTTTATGGTGAATGTACAATTTACTGTGCTGTAAAGAGAAATATATATAACCAGAGCGTTACTCAACTGGAAAGCTACCTACATATTTGTAGCTGTTTTCTCAAACAGTGCGGAAAGGGGACACTGACAATGTTAACTTGCAATGTCACCCCGATAAGCTTGTAAACACCCACCTACCATGGGTGGAACTTTACCCCAAAGATTTCCTACGACAGAGCACTTAGAGAGGTTTACATTGACAGAGACTGCAAACCAGAGACCCTCTGACCATACACAGCTGCTGATTCATTTTGCCCACCTGCATAATGAACATGCGGGGGTGGAAACCTGGTTACAAAGACAAGTATCCTGACACCTAGAGTCTGAGCAGTGGCTGCTTGCCTGGTGTCTGGAGGCCGTTGGGTTTTCAACATGAGAGCCCTTTGACATCCCAGCCTAAACGAATATCAAGGTCTTTTAAATCCAAAACCACTCTGGCAGTTCCATTTAGATCATCAGATAACTAGGAATTTAAGACATTCTGTTTCTTTTTTCACTTTTGTCTTGGTTTCAGTTCAGTTCAGTCACTCAGTCGTGTCCAACTCTTTGTGACCCCATGAACTGCAGCACGCCTAACAAAATATTAATGTTGCAAATAATGAGAAGTGAAATAACTAAATACATATAGTGGGTAGGGATCCAATTTACAGCTTCATGGGAAACTTATCATTATTTGTACCAGTGAATCATTAGATGAGCAGAAACTCTTATTTTCTAGGACTTTTACTAGAATAGAATGCTCAAGACTCAGGTGGTCAGACTACTGACCTAAAAGCTGTTCTTGTTGGTTTATGCAGCTAGGACAGCCAGTGAACATCATTTCAAATGATAATCTGTGCAGCCTCAAATAGCTATCAGGCAATCTGTGATTCAACCTTGCATGCACTTTTAAATTTCTTATTCTTTCCGATCTTTTCCTTCCTCCTCTCTCCTTTCCCCAAGCTCCGTAATTTTTTCAAAATTGAAATGAGTGTCTCTTTTCTTAAATATATATTCTTGTTTATTTATGGGCTGTGCTGAGTCTTAGTTGTGGCATTCAGAATCTTCAGTCTTCGTTGCGGCACGTGGGATCTTTAGAGGCAGCATGCAAACTCTTAGTTGCGGCACGTGGGATCTATTAATTCTCTGACTAATTAGATTCCCAGGGATCTAATAGTTCCCTGACCAGAGACTGAACCAAGGCCCCCTGCATTGGGAGCACATAGTCTTAACTATGGGACCACCAGGGAAGTCCCTCACCAAGCTCCATATTATGTTCCTTCTTCTCTGTGTGGCCTTCACCCTGACTGAACCACTGGGAGCCATTTGTTGGTCCTACTGGTGGCCTGTGGGGCTAAGGGTGGTGATGAGCCTCAGCTTCATAGAACCAGAGGTAAATGGTTCAACACCTCCCACGCCCTTCTGAGCTACATAAAGAAATGAGAAGATGGATGTGACTGTGATATGTATTTGGAAGAATAAAAAATTATATACCCAAACTATCACTAATGTGTATTTATTCTAGAGGAATGCCTTTGAATTTGCACCCTAAGACTCCTCATACTTTATTTCTCATGAGTAAAGAAATAATAATCTTTATATAAAAAAGGTATGAAAAATGACTGACCTTTGGGACTCTGCTGTAGCACACTCTATAAAGTAAGTCTGAAACAAAAGAAAGAAATGTATTAATGTTAGTTTGACAATTGAAAATATCAGGCAAGATGACCCAGAATTTATCACAGTATTACAGAATCTTAGAACCACAACAACTCCTAGGAATGATCTAATTCTCATTCCTACCAGATTAATGACATATGATCAAAGCTATTCAGGCTCTACTTGGATACCTCTAGTGTCAGGGAACTCTCTACCACACAAGGGAGCATGTTCTCCTGAAGCCCTGGTTTTAAGAAACCTGGTTTTACTTAAAGGAAAATCTACCTCTGTGTAACATCCATCCATTGAGCCTAGTTTTGATTTTTGGAGCAATGGAACTTGCCCATTCATTCTTTTACACAGCAGATTTGGGGGTAATTTGAATACCTATCTCCTCAGGAATACAGAACTCCACACTCTCCCCCAAATAATAACAATAATTATAAACAAATACAGGATATACTATGATTACCTCACTTAAGGTTTGCAGAGTTTTGTTGAGTTCTGATCGTCTGTTAATAAAATGAGAAATTGACATGAAGGAGATCATTGATGATGTTAAGTTCAAAACAAGTTAGATTTTTAGCAATTACATGAAGCTTATGGTATTTATTGCTTGCAGTGTTCACTTTGAAGAAATAATGTGTACAGTAAGAGACTCCTATGTGGGAAAAATTAATTAATATGACAAGGGAACAAATCAGATAGACACTCTATTGGTTCCAGCCAATGGCAAGATATAAATTATGGTTAAACAATCTTATTACTAATTAGGCTACTGCAACCCCCAAGCAGCTGCCTCTGGCAAAGGGCCAGAGGAAGTGCTGGCCCGAGGCAAAACTTCTGAGACTGGCTAGTCACTCACCCTGGGGGCCCTCTGTCTCTGACTTTTCCTCCTTCTCTCCAACTGACACCCTCCTCCACCCTCCAGCACTCTCCAGCCATGGTCCCCACATTCCACAGCCTCAGACCGCCCTGCCACTTTATTTTTTACCCCATAAATGCCCCAAGTTGCTGGCCTTTGGAGAGGTAAATCTGAGACTTGTTCTCCTCATGTGGCTACGTTGGGAATAAGTCCTCTTTTTGCTGCAAGTCTTGGCTTCTCAGTTTTTTAGCTTGTTGCACACTGGGCAAAATGAATCTGGTTTAGTGAAGCTCTTACATAGTTCAGTAGCATCAGAGAGAACATCCTCATGAGGATATTAGTTGATAACAGGTTACTATGGTTTGTTTGCAAAGATCTCAAGAACCAATTCTTCATACCTCTGGATCTGTCTCTATCATATTCTTGGTTTCCAAAAGTAAAGATAGCTCAACAAGTATCTTTCCAGAGTTGATGTCTTAGGTTTTAAATCAAACTGCAAGATTACTCACTTCAATTCCCTTAGAGACAGGATTCCAGTTAACGTGCCATTAGCCATAACTTGATTCTGTTAGAAGCACAAAATCATTAAGAATATAACAAACATTGTTTTGTTTTATAACACTTTCTAACAAGAAGCTGTTCTTTAGTTTTGTTGGGCACCCAAAGACCTACACCCCAAAGACTGTGATTCCTAACTACATGCAATATTGTCTAGCAAAAGAGTGAATACATATTGGCTGAGTCAGTCTTTGTTTTCATGTTTTCTTTAAAAAATATTCTGAATCAGCAAGTCTGACATGCTAATTTCTATCCTTTGTTATTTCAAGAGTTCCCCCAAAAGAACACTATTAAAGCTCTCTGTGTAAATGTAAAAAGGGACACTTGGTAGCAACCATCACTGCATTTCTAGCACCTAGCTCACTGCCTGGCACATAGTAGGTGCTCAGGAAATATTCACGGAATTAACAAACCATATTTGGCTGGGAACTTCTGAACCAATCTGGGCTTCTGAACCAGATGGTTCAGATGGTAATGAATCTTCCTGCAATGTAGGGGACACAGGTTCGATCCCTGGGTGGGGAAGATCTCTTGGAGAGGAAATGGCAATCCACTCCAGTATTCTTGCTTGGGAAGTTCCATGGACAGAGGATCCTGGGGGGCTACCCTCCATGGGGTCCCACAGAGTCGGACAGGACTGAGTGACCAATACTTTCACTTTTCACTTTCTGAACCAAGCCTTCTGGGAAGGCTGATACTACCTGTCTGATTCCCAGATAGGAGTGAACAGGATCAGATTGAGACTATTTTTAGATTCAATGTATTTCTTATTGCTAGGAGTTTCTAATATAACTTAAAATTCTGACTGGCAATAGAACTACATCATATAAACACTCATATTCAACAGCAAACCCAGTGAAAACTAAAACATAATTTTTAACAAAACTCCATGATTATCATGAAATCAAGCCCTCTTGACAAAGCCAGTGTTTCAACAACACATACTTTATTTAAATTTGGTCAAAAAGTAAATATGCGAAATATCAGAAATAATTTGAACCTTAAATCTTTGAGTATCTGAGAATTCACTTTTTAAATTGCAATTAAAAAATCTTTAAAACCTACCTGGGTAATATTGCTTTCTTCATCATATTGAAACATGATCTCACCTCTAAAAAAGGCTAAAAATAAAATTTCAAAAAGAAATCTGAGACTTGCATCCTTAGAGTTTGAGGATTAATATGACACAGAAAAAGATCATCATATTACTTTAAAACAAAGTCTTTGTTATTCACATTTACTCTCTTTTCTGTCATAAAGTTATTCAATGATTATCAATCAGTACAATTTTCAGAAAATATCAATTCTACATTTTATGTGGCAATGCAGAAAAAGAAAAAGCTTATCTGCTTGCCAAGAAATTTTATCCCTACATGTTTCTCATCAAGACTATTTTCTGTCAAAATGTTAACTAGGGGAACTGTGGCTCTAACGCTGAAAATCTTTTTAAGCTGTTACAGTTGCAGTTATAGGAGATAGGGAAGGGAGAGAAAAAGTATTTCTCAGCAGTTAAGCTACCTCATGGAAGTCTATTTATTCCTTGCCATTTGGAGTTTTTGTTGTTTTTGTTTTAAAATGCAGTTTCCAAATGCACTATCTTTCCTAGGAACACAGTTGAGATTTTGCTTTGAAACCTGAATAGAAGGCAGAGCAAATCCTTTCTTCAGTTGAACAACTTGTGACTTTCATCCAAGAAACGCCAGAAAACTTTGTTCTGAAAACACCTGCTTTGAGAAATACTGAACTCAATTTCAGAACTCAAAGCATTTCCTGCAGGGTATACTCTGAGGGGCTTTGGCTCCATGTAGAAACTAATAAAACAGAGACTCCTTACAGAAGTACACTGTGTGCACTTCATAATCTACAGAGACAAACAACTGGCCTCCTGAGCAGAAAGGCAAGGATATCATATAAACTAGAGCAGGGCTCAACCAACTTTTCTGTAAGATATCAGAAAATAAATATTTGAAGTTTTTGTGGGCTATATGTTCTCTGTTCAAACTATACACCTTTGTGGTTATAGTGTAAGAGCAGCGTTGGTCAAAATATAAATGAATGGCATGGCTGTGTTCCAGTGAAACTTTATTTACAAAAACATGTGACAGGCTATTATTTGAACTATGTGCAGTAGTTTGCCAACTCCTGAGCTAGAGGCTGGAAGGCCTCCCAATCTCATCTTTCATTGCACTCCAAAATACAACTGATTCCCATAGCCAAGGACCCAGCAGTCCACTTCCACTTAAAATGGCTGACAATGCCATTAGACCAGCGAACATGATTTACCTTTTCCAGTCACCTTTCTACTGAGAACCCCAAACTCTGCATATTGATACTGAAATTTAAATTAATATACTACATAATTATTAAAAGCAAAGATAATCAGTTGCTGTTGTTTAGTTGCTCAGTCGTGTCTGACTCTTGCGATCCCCATGGACTGGAGCCCACCAGACTCCTCTGTCCACAGGATTTCCCAGGCAAGAATACTGGAGCAAGTTGCCATTTCCTTCTTCAGGGGATCTTCCTGACCCAGGGATCGAACTCACATCTCCTGCATTGGCAGGCTGATTCTTCACCACTGAGCCACCAGGGAAGCCCAAAGATAATTTATAAATGCATAGAATTGCTTGTCCATTTTTGCTAAAATCTTAGCTTTTAAAAACTTATTTAGCAACTGTATGTGTGCTGACACACAATTTTTCTCCCTTGCCTCTCCATTCTACAAGTTCATCCTTCAGTCTTATTCAGCACATGTTCAGTTTCATGAATGTGCTGGGCGTACAATGGGAGCAGAGCAGCCAGGAAGCCATTACCTTTTGACCCTCAACCTGACTCTACCTGGTCAGCTCCCAGTTTTCTCACCAGCCTCCATTCCCCTTAATAAATCCAGATTGGAATCTGTAAGAAGTGAAGGTTTCTGGCAGGATATTGTGGAAATTCTGGTGCCAAAAGAGTTGCTCCCCTGAAAAGGTTGTTTTCACCAGACACTAAAACAAATGGTCAATTCAGTAGCTTAACTGGGGAAAACATTACTCCAACCAGCTTCCTGGCATCTGTTATTCAAGATGACCAGGGTTTTTTTTTTAACTAAATGTTCAACTTTCAAACAGTTATCAAACATCATGTAGACATAACATTAAGCTAGACATTAGTCACCAGTCCAAAACACAAATGAAGCATGAAAATAATGAAATTATGGAGTATCCAGTGAAGAGAGGGGTACGAGGGGAGGGAGGTGAGAAGAAGAAGAGAGTTACACAATATATGAAAGTGAAATGTATCCAACAATTTTTTTTTTCTTTAATCAAAGTCACTTAATATTTTCCTGCTATATTCAACCTGGAGAATACTACTAGCAGAAAGCTCATGTAAGTAAACCTTACATTCACAAATATAGAAAGTGTTTGTGGAACATTCTTTCAATGGCAAGTTTGCTTGTTTTCTCAACTATCCAATCTTAACTTATGTTACTTGAAATTGTTTCCTATGTTTTTCAAACAAAGTATTAAACTGTTAAAAGGAACAGAATAAAAGGAAAGCATTCCTATAATTATTGGCTTTTTTATATCATTGGAGCCACACTAAAACTTTTAACATTATAAAATACTCTGTTACCTTCCTCTTCTCTCTTCCCATGATCCAGTTCTGACCTGTCACACCATATTTTTCTGTTTTTCACATCTGCTTTCATTGGTTTTAATAAGGGAGGCCAGAGAGCCAAACCAACGTGAGAAAAGTGGTTGCTTCACTCCTTCTGGCCCATGCAGAAGGGAAAATATTCCCATTTCAAAAATAGTATGTTCTCAAGAGGTTTCCATTTTAATTTTTAAAAACAGTGGACAGTCTTAGTTAGTGATGGCAAAATACGCTATGGGCACTCCTGGAATTAGCGTCCAATTAAACTAGGTGTATGTGAGATTTTCAACATCCTAGCAGAGCAGTTTGTTTTATTTTTGGCAAAAGACAACATCCTGTTTCTAAGTTACAATACTGAAGGTCCTATGGAAAAGCTTGAGGACTTTATATATAAGAAATGGCTTTCAATAATTAAATCCATTATTAATTATGTTCATGAATCAACTCTTAAGGATATTAGCTATGGTGAAAAATATTTGCTGCAGAGTTTCATGTTCTCATATTAAAGGAGTTAACCCATTATCTCACTTTCAGTCATATCTAAAATTTGCTTTGGTTTTCATTTGAGACTCTGGGTAGCCAGGTGTGATGAAAAGAGATAAATCAGAGGGTCCCACATCATATGCTTAACAGCAGGAAAACAAACCGTTTCTCTGTGGAGCTAATTTATTTGATCATGTGTAGTGTACACAAGAACTAACCTGAATCATTGCAAATAGATGACAAATTGCAGATATTTCTCGGGGGTTTGACACCTGCAAAGAAAACACAACCCAGCGGGTTAAACATGTTAACACCTGCACTTAAATACAACATTAAAAGAATTCACAAATTTAGGCATTGAACATGTACCCAACATACTATATATTGGATATAATTGGCTATGATTAATTCCACAAAGACTAAAGGAATGAGTTTTCATTTCTTAGTAGTTAAGCCATGGAAGTGGACTCACACCATTCTTTAGTGTGTCAGTATCTGATCCCTTACTCCTCCCAAAAATTTCTTTGTCTCATTCCCAATTAATCCCTCTTCTGCCCAATAAAGAAGGAAGAGCATGAATACAACTGAGTATAGAGACTTTAAATGAAATAGCCCTTCCTTACTCATAGATCCACTTTCCTTTCCTGAGAGTCGATGAACACTCTAATGCTGGTCTTAGCTCCTTATGTAAACATATGTATGAAATAACATCAATGTGTGATATCTTTTCACAAGGGCAAAAACTGTAAAAGTCAAAAAGTACTGGCTGAACATCTCCCACCTTCTATAGGCTTTGGGAGGTTCCAGATACAGACCCTGCCCTCAAGGAGCTTACAATCTAGTGAGGGATACTGGCCAGTAAATAAAAAGTTATAAGTTTAGCTGCTCAGTCATGTCTGACTCTTTGCAACCCCATAGACTGCAGCACACCAGGCTTCCCTGTCCATCACCAACTCTTGGAGCTTGCTCAAACTCATGTCCATCAAGTCGGTGATGCCATCCAACCATCTCATCTTCTGTTGTCCCCTTCTCCTCCTGCCTTCAGTCTTTACCAGCATCAGGGTCTTTTCCAATGATTCAGTTCTTCGCATGAAGGAGCGAAAGTATTGGAGTTTCAGTTTCAGCATCAGTCTTTCCAATGAATATTCAGGACTGATTTCCTTTAGGACAGACTGGTTTGATCTCCTTGCAGTCCAAGGGACTCTCAAGAGTCTTCTCCAACACCACAGTTCAAAAACATCAATTATTTGGAGCTCAGCTTTCTTTATAGTCCAACTCTCACATCTATACATGACTACTGGAAAAACCATAGCTTTGACTAGATGGACCTTTGTTGGCAAAGTAGTATCTCTGCTTTTTATGTTGCTGTCTAGGTCGGTCATAGCTTTTCTTCCAAGGAGCAAGTGTCTTTTAATTTCACGGCTGCAGTTACCATCTGTAGTGATTTTGGAGCCCAAGAAAATGAAGTCTGACACTGTTTCCATTGTTTCCCCATCTATTTGCCATGAAGTGATGGGACCGTATGCCATGATCTTAGTTTTCTGAATGTTAAGTTTTAAGCCAGCTTTTTCACTCTCCTCTTTCACTTTCATCAAGAGGCATTTTAGTTCTTCTTCACTTTCTGCCATAAGGGTGGTGTCATCTGCGTATCTTAGGTTATTGATATTTCTCCTGGCAATCTTGATTCCAGCTTGTGCTTCATCCAGCATGGCATTTCACATGATGTTATAAAAAGTTATAGTGAAGGCAAAATGGAGTGATGGCCAGTACAATAGATGACATAAGCATACAAAGGAGGCAGAGATGAGTGGGAGGAGAAACAAGCCATGTTAGAACAAAAAACTTCACATATATTAACCTGAGAAATACCTTCTCCTTTGGTGAAAGGATAGGTACATCTTTTCTTTGATTTGAAAAGAGCTCAAAATTTACTCCACTGAGAATCTTTCCTTCATTAATTTCATCCTTTTGGCAAATTATCAGAAATCTGTAACAAAAGTGAGGGGCAAATGTTGATCGTGTATTAGCAGACTGCTGAAGGGAAAAGGTTGTCATATTAAGAAATATTTTCCTGTCCTTGTTAGGTCTGGTTTGGTCAGAATTATGTATGCAATGTCTGGTTGTTATTTTCTTTCTACTGCACTTTATAAGTGCTTAATTCTTTCCCAAGAGAACTAGTTTGGATATAAACTAAAATTATAATTTGAGTTAGTATGTGTGATGTGATTCCTGCCAGAATGATTTAGTTGACGTTTGGTGTGTAGGCATCATGTTTCAGCTAAGGGTTTTGATTCTGTGAGCAAACAATTTATATGGCGAAAGGTACCTGACATGTAGATTTCTATACTAGTCCAGCAATGTTACCCACACCAAAATAGAAAAATTTCATTTAAAATATACTTATGGATATAACTCATTGAAAACATATACTATGCAAATACTATAGAATATACAGATAGTGGGTTGTAATGGTTTATATGTTCTTTACAACCATTGGTCTATTGCTCACTAAGCTTTTCATTCTATCATCTCTCCTGTTTCTCTAAATTTTTAGTAGTTCCTTCATTTCCAATGATATATGCCTTCTGCTATCCATTCATACTGAGAATTTTCTTTCCAATTGCTGGGGCTGTTATCCATAATTTCCCCTCAAGGATATGGCCACAGGTCAGCATTTAAATCATGAGTGAGAAAACTTTGGCTGTAATGGGTCAAATAGTAAATATTTGGGGCTTTGTGTGTCTAAAATATTTTTTGTCTCTGTTGCAACTACTTTACTATTCACTGTGGCAGGAAAGTAGCCATAGACAATGTGTATAAACAAAAGCACATGGTGGTGTTCCAATAAAATTTTATTTACAAGCATAGATGGTGGGTCATATTTGGCCCACAGGCCATAGTTTGCCAAACCCTGCTTTGAATCAATTGGAAGCCTCTGTTAAACAAATCATGAATCCTTAATCTTATAATAGGTACTTAAAAGTACATCTTTTTGTGGATTTAAATAATTTTTGAGGTTCACTCCTCTAAGAATCTTTCCTTCATAAACTGCACATCACTGATAATCATTAGCAGCAGCCCTTCTATCTCCCATGCCTCTTAACCATGTCAGAAACACTTGTGTAATCATTGCCTTTATTCGCTCATATGTTCATATAGTTACCTGTTTCTCTTGTCTCTCCCCATAGACTAGGAGATTCTAGAGAGTGGGAATTGTGTCTAACTATTATTATATAATAATGATTTATTCCCTGGTGGCTCAGACAGTAAAGAATCCTCCTGCAATGTGGGAGACCTGGGTTCGATCCCTGGGTTGGGAAGATCCCCTGGAGGAGGGCATGGCAACCCACTCCAGTATTCTTGCCTGGAGAATCCCATGGACAGAGGAGCCTGGCGGGCTACAGTCTATGGGGTCGCAAAGAGTTGGACACAACTGAGCAGCTAAGCACAGCACACAACACAGTACATTATTATATAACCCCAAACACTTAGTACAATTTAAGGTACCCAGCCCATAAACATTTATTCATTATGAACAGATTTAATTTTTAAAAGACAGGAAAAAGGTGAAAGAAAATATAAACACCCACCACTATTTGTTTAACTTTAGGTATAAGAAAAGAAAATCTAGATATTGAGAATAAGTCATACCTGATGCATTGAAGGTTTTTACTATAGTGATTTTAGTTTTTTCTGCAAAGAAGCAAGTTAAACATTAGAGCAGAATTGCTACTTATTTTTTTAAAAACAATTTGCCATGAGTATCATTTCAGTGAACTGCTAAGAAAATCATACTGTTGACACCTTCAAGACACTATTGGTCATCTCAGCAGCAGGGTGAAATGAGCTTTACGTACTCAGATCATACAACATTGGCAGAGGGTGGGTCTGGATCTGAACTGCTGTTTCCCCAGTTGGATCACATCTCTTACACACCCCACTGCCTGCATAATTCTACCACATTTTTCATGCGCTGCTGCTAGACAAATCAATGTGGACGTATACTTCAGATATAAAGAATTAAGTCATTATAAGGATCTTCAGGTGATAGGTTGTAAAGAGAGGGCAATTCAAAATGATAATTAATGTAAACAGTAAACACAAGATTGAAAACATTGCTACGATACTCTAATATTGCAAAGTATCCTGTTATTTTCTTAAGGCATTAATATAATAATAATAATGTAATATTACTGACAGATAAAATTATCCTCAGAGATGTAGAGAATATCCAACTGCAGTCATACAATAAGCTCATAGCAGAACCAGGAGAGAATTGTTCAAAGTCTTGTTTCATAGGCAAATATTAACATATTCTGAGGAAGCAAACCTCAGAAATACCTTGTCAACACACTCTGGGGACAGAGCCCATGGCTCAGTTTCCAGTGAAGATAGTATCAGGCTCATAAATCCTTACTGTAAGGATCATGTAAGAGACTGTGTTCAGGGCACAGACTTGCTAAGAAGGTCTGTCTCCTAGGGTTAGTGGCAAGTTCTGAAGAAAACATCAAAGTCAGATCTTGGAGGAGCACTTAATGATGATGGTATTCTGAGTTTCACATTTCTATATGTTATTGACTAGTTTCTGTTTCAGTATGTGAAAGAGCCATGGGCAATGATTGGTGGCAATCATAAAGGCTGATAGCATTTTGCATTAAGAATCCTTTAAATATATTGCTTGCTCCAATACATTCCTTTCCAGAGTAAATAAAACACAACTGTGAAATGATCTCCTGGTTCTAGTGAAAAAAGAAAGTGCTTTTAGGGAAGAAAGTTCTTCAGCCTCACAAATAAAAAATGCAAAAGGGAACCTATGGAATTGAGAGGAAGATACAATAATATGACATAGTCTCAACTCCGGGCAAAGGTACAGTTACACATTCTCATCCATTGCTGGCAGGAATGTTGTTGGGTACAACTTTTCGAGAAGGTAATTGCGTAGTAGGTGTCAAGGGGCTTAAAATATTCATAATGCTGACCCAAATAAGTCCAATCCTTGAAGCGCATTCTACAGAAATCAGGGAGGAATGCAGAGATATTGGCACAAGGATGTTCACTGCAACAATTTCTATTTGAAAAGTAAAAACAGATTTAATGTTCACATATGGTACAAGATGGAATATTATCAAGTCACTAATAGTTGCGGATGCTGAACAGGGTCTCTGTGACAATCTAGAAGGGTGAGATGGAGAGGGAGATGGGAGGGAGGTTCAGGAGGGAGGGGACATGGGTGTACCTATGGCTGATGCTTGCTGATGTTTGACAGAAAACCACAAAATTCTGTAAAGCAATTATCCTTCAATTAAAAAAAAAATGAAGTGGCAAAATAAATAAATAAATAAAATCAATTGAAGCAAAAAAGTAGTAATGGATGCTGGAAAACACTTACAGCTTAGCATGAAGTCAAAAGGGCAAGATATAAAAATTTATGTAAACTATGAAAATTTTGTTATACACATATACATACTATATATGTATATATGATAGTGAATGGAAATATACCAAATTATTATCAGTAATAGTCTTAGGAAAGTAATATTAAAAATGATTATAATTTTCCTCTTTGCATTTTTCTATATTCCTCATTTTTATGAGTTAAGATGAATTACTACTATTATTTTACTTAAATATGTTATTTTATTTAAATTCAATTTAAAATGTTATTCTAAATGGAATGCTATTGCCATAAGAGTTTGGAAGCTCAGAAGTGTGGTGACACCAGAACTATATAGTTCAGGGTCAAAGTAAAATGAGTAATAAGTCAACAGTTGGAGTCATAGGAAATGGGCAAGGAGATAACTTTTACTAACCCAGAGGAACACAGTGAGAAACTCAAGAAGCCACAGAAGACAAGTTATTATATTCAGAAATAACTGGACAGTACCTGTTCTGTTCAAAGTAGATAACACGCTTGAAGTAGCATCTGAAATAAAATAATAAAAATTAGCACAATTATTGGCATGATTAACAAATACATGCATCTTCATAGGTTCCTTAAACATTTCACTTTCCCTCAAATCCTGGAGAAGTAAATTAAGAGAGTTTTGCAAAAGCCAGTTGGCACTAGCAAATGTATTTGCTGCCCACACCCTTACCACACTATCCACTCCCCAACTCCCACAGACAATGCCTGAGAAGCATTCATTCATTTAAAAATGTGCTTCCTGAACACATGTTATGTACCTAAAACACAGCAACACTCCTATAATTATTACATTTATGGCTAATTCATTTCAATGTATGACAAAAACCACTGCAATGATGTAAAGTAATTAGCCTCCAACTAATAAAAATAAATGGGAAAAAAAATAATAAATAAATAAATAAATTCATTCATGTTGCTTAATATTTTGTCCCCTTTTTTCTCTATCATAATAAAAGTCCCTAAGGGATATGACACTTCTACAGTTAGTATAACTTTAATACATAGCCCTGTAGATGCTTAATGCATTTGTACCTAATGGTATACTCTTATAAAGCAATCTTTAAGGAATTCTAATTTAAATTCGGAGATCTTGAACATGGTATTCACCTAAGGTAATCTCATTTTGATCTTGTTTTACTTAAAATCTATCCTATTGATATTTCTTTAAATGAAAATCCTTCTAAATTTATTATTCTGTATGAAATTTAAAGGGGAAAAAAAGATATGTATTATATTATCATACTTTAAAAAAAAAGCCCACATAAATGGGATCTAAAAACTACTGCTAAAATGATTTTGAAGCTTTTCTTTCACTGTAAAAAAGTAATTGCATATAAAAATGACAATGTCTGGCCCTTCCCACTGGACCAAAAGTGAATTTAAACCAGTTTTGATGCGCATGCGTTGCAACTCAATTGTTTAGCTCCTTAACCACCAACCACATGGTGAGATTTCATCTTAACTAAGGGATTGTGAAAAGTGTTAGGTTTTGACTGCAGTAAGATGGAAGCTGTCTACCCACAGAGGAAGGGAACAAAGTGTGATGCCTTGCCCACCTCTCTCAAATTCAGCCCAATTCTTTGCTCTTTTCCTGAAGCCAGAGTGGGGTTTTTTTTTTTTTTTTTGGTATTTGAGACTATTTAAAAATTCATAAAATCATCTGTAAAAGGCTGTCTTTGAACACTCTGTGCCTCTAAATCCAGGCTGAATCATATTAAAGTCACTGGATGTGCTTTTGCCATTTAAACAATCTGTCCTGTACAGTGTGTTGGCATGGTTCTGGAAAATAAGGAAGGCTCTCAAAATGTGATCAATAGTTCTTTCCTTTCAGAGAATAGTTGGAGTGGCAGACACTGTTCTCCCTCCATGATAAAGCAAAAAGTCTAGGTTGCTCTCCAGGGTTGAGGGTCTGGGGGATTTTTTGTGTTCGTGTTTGTTATTTGAATAAGGAAACTTTAAACATCATTCATTACACATTCATTCATTATATTAAGGGTTCAATTTTTACTTGCTTTAGAAAACTTCTTACCATTTAGGCTTGTAGTTTCAACCTCTTTTATCCCCAAGAAAAAAGACAAAAGTATAATTAAAGCAAAACTTAACAAGTTGGGGTAAATCTAAGTTAAATTTTTTCAAAATCTTGCCTGGAGTACCATTGGAGAAGGGGACAGAATCAACGAGAGATGATTCAGCTGCAGGAGAAAAAAAATTCCAATAAATACTTTGAAACAAATTTATTTACTGAAGTTTAAGGAGTAAAAGTAGACAACATGCTATCAGACCAATATCTAGTTAAATCTGTAAGTCCAATAATCACTCAGTGAGTATACATTTTATCAGAAAATCACAAAGGACGGACCTAGGAGATGAAATAAATATAACTATTTCATTTCACAGCCAACGTAAGACTCGACTGCAAAGCCTGCTGTGATCTATAGAATATTATGGAAATAAATTTAGGGACCACAACAAAGTATTTTCACATTTTTTCAGCCAGACAGTTCTAGACATGTTATAGTTTAATAATTTGACACATAGGTTCTACTCTGTTTATAATCACACCTGGTAACTCTACTCACAGTGAATTTAGGATTTAAAAAAACAACACTGCTTTCACTCAATAGTGTACTACCTAACACAATTTCCTGGTAAGTTATTTTAAAATACGGCTGCTATTAAGGCAATCAATCAGATTGTAAATTTCCTGTGGAATAACTCCACTTATACTAAGAGATCAGTCTATTGCACACGCTTTGTATGTTTAAATATTAAAAAGATTCAATAGCTTGACCTCTCCATATACACAGGACAAAGAAACAGTTTACAACTAAAAGAAGCTTTGCAGTAGGGAGCCTGATATTCAGCTGGTAAGGACATCTGGGTGTGTCGAGGCACTTGGCTGGCCTGTCTGAGACCACTCATGCGCTGGCTGAAACACACACACCCTGTCTGTCCTACATTATTGCTTCCAAATTTTGTCATTTACTACATTTTTTTAGTTCTTTCATTTATTTATTTAACTACATTTTAAAAACTTACCAAGTATATTTCTTGAGAATCAAGGCAGTTCTTGAGCATTAACATTCAAAGTGTGAATACAGAATTCTTTGTTTTGGGGGCAGAACAATATAATTGGCCAAAGCTGGTTTTTAATGAATGACTATTCATTTTTCTGAATGGTAACACCACCCAAAGAGGCCTGCAGGCACAGCTGTCTGTCCATCCCTGGATGTGTGCTGGCTTTCCCCCTTGGGCCCCAAGACTGTCCCCTAGCATTCATGTATGCTTCCAAACCCTAACCTCATTCCATGCAAACAGGGCTTTGCAAAGATATCACTATGATTAAGTCTAAGAAGACTAATGCAGCACAAGAAAAATACAGTGGTTCATTTTATCCTAGAAGTGTAACAACAAAGGAGCAAACCCCCTAGTGAAAAGAGCTTGGGCTTTGGAGATTTGCCACCCTGGGTCTGAATCTTTGCCTGTTGACTTAATAATAACAATCACTATTACTTGCTGAGGGTTTACTCTGTGCTGGGCACATGTGTTATCTCCTTTCATTTTCACAACTTCCCTATGAAGTAAGTACTGTTATTCTCCCCAAGTTATAGATGAAGAAACTGAGGCACAGTAAGATGAAGGAATTTGTCCAATGTCACACAGCTAGCAATGGAGATGGGAGGGTAGTGGCCAAATTCAAACCCAAGTAGTGTGGCTGCAGAGAATGAGCAAGTTTCATCCTGTCTGAGCATCAGTTTCCTCATCTAAACGTGAATATAATGATCCCTATACTGTAAGACTGGAAACAGAATGAGTGTCAGAAGACTCCTAGGCATGTAATATGTGCAAGAGCAGTAACAGTGATTACTAATTTTAAGTGACTGAATTAATAACAGTAGAAACTCATTTTCATGCAACTAAGGATATGGCATCTGGTCCTATCACGTCATGGGAAATAGATGGGGAAACAATGGAAACAGTGTCAGACTTTATTTTGGGAGGCTCCAAAATCACTGCAGATGGTGATTGCAGCCATGAAATAAAAAGACACTTACTCCTTGGAAGGAAAGGTATGACCAACCTAGAAAGCATATTTAAAAGCAGAGACATTACTTTGCCAACAAAGGTCCGTCTAGTCAAGGCTATGGTTTTTTCAGTGGTCATGTATGGATGTGAGAGTTGGACTGTGAAGAAAGCTGAGCGCCAAAAAATTGATGCTTTTGAACTGTGGTGCTGGAGAAGACTCTTAAGAGTCCCTTGGACTGCAAGGAGATCCAACCAGTCCATCCTAAAGGAGATCAGTCCTGGGTGTTCATTGGAAGGACTGATGCTGAAGCTGAAACTCCAATACTTTGGCCACCTCATGCGAAGAGTTGACTCACTGGAAAAGACCCTGATGCTGGGAGGGGTTGGGGGCAGGAGGAGAAGGGGACGACAGAGGATGAGATGGTTGGATGGCATCACCGACTCGATGGATATGAGTTTGAGTAAACTCCAGGAGCTGGTGATGGACAGGGAGGCCTGGCGTGCTGCAATTCATGGGGTCGCAAAGAGTCGGACATGACTGAGTGACTTAACTGAACTGAAGGACAGAACATGAGTTGACTCACTCCTTATACAAGAAAAAAAATTGTTCTGTAACAAAAGACTGTTACATATATGTTACAGAAAGAGAGAAATACAGGAGGAGTTAAGAGAAGCTACCTGCTGCCTCTTGAAATTAAGTAAGTTACTCAACTGTTACAGGCATCACTGTGTCATTAACTAAGGGATGGCGGGACCACTTTATCCCTGAGGTCCCATTACAGCCAGCAGTCTCAAATGTGGGTTCTGTTCCTGGTTCCTGCCAAGATGGGCCCCAGTAATAAATTTTTTAATTCATTTGCCTTCCCATTCTCATGAGTCCTAAGCCTTTTGAAAGATATTCATTTAGTGCGGTGCTAAGGAAGTATATTTAAGAGAACATTTCAATGCTCTACAGCAACATTCAGCATGTTTATATTCTTGATACTCTTCAGGAGACTTATGAACTAGAACACTAAAAAGAACATTGAAGAACATTAGTAGCTACCATGATGAAAATCCACAATTTGGTGTCCAGCTGTTTAACAATGTGGGGGGATAGGTATGCTTGTCCTATTGTCTTTTGCTATTGATTTCTCAGGTGTAGGTTTAATGACAGAATTTAATTAAGCTTCATGCAAGAAAACAATTTTGCTGGATCTGACATTGCATGGAGAACTTTTAGAATATTTTCCTAAAATGCCCCTAAAATCATGAAATAACAATCTTACCAGATGGTGACAGCAAACTGGAATTGTAAGCATGTTCTGTTGAGGAAAAAGGTGATTTAAAGTTAGCTTGTAGATAAACAACAAGGACCTACTGTATAACACAGGGCACAATATTCAATAACCTATAAAGAATTTGAAAAGGAATATATATATATAGCTGAACCACTTTGCTGTATACCTGAAACATTGACAGTAAATCAACTATACTTCAATGAAAAAAATTTTAAATCAACAAAATTGGTTTAGTTAGTACATGAATTTGTACATTAACATCTTTAATGGGAGTGAATGTAAAATGAATTACAAATAGCTACCAAAAGAGGGCAGTATGATAATTTACTATTATTTTCAACAGTCTAATCAGTTCTATCAATTCTCCACAAAGACTTATCTCTGGTGAAGCAATTCTTCCAATTTAACTACTGACAGTGCTCTATATATTTGTTATATAATGGTCTAGTACATTTCAAACTAAAATGATGACTAAGAACTTTGGTTGTTGGCTAATGTTCATTAGAATGTGTAAAAGTAAATGTGTATACCTGCATAAATTAAACTTCCCTTAACCGTATTTCTTTTTATACCTATTAGCACAGACTTTATACCTCTAATTAAACCACTTATTTATTCTGAGTTAAACTAGATCAGATGCCTCCGGGTATAAAAACAACAAGAACTGTTGTGTTATTTATTTTGGGAGGATGCTCAGATTCCTTAAAAGAAAAGTAATTCTATTTTTCCTCAATGAAAATGAATACACTTATTGGAGAAACTTCAGAAAACACAGATAAACAAAACGAAGAAAATTAAAACGACCTATAATTTCACCATCCAGAGATAATACATATAAATCTGTGGTGCTGGAGAAGACTCTTGCGAGTCCCTTGGACTGCAAGATCAAACCAGTCAATCCTAAAGGAAATCAACCCTGAATATTCACTGGAAGGACTGATGCTAAAGCTGAAGCTCCAATATTTCGGCCACCTGATGTGAAGAACTGACTCATTTGAAAAGACCCTGATGCTGGGAAAGATTGAAGGCAGCAGGAGAAGGGGACGACAGAGGATGAGATGGTTGGGTGGCACCACTGACTCAGTGGACGTGAGTTTGAGCAAACTCTGGGAGATAGTGAAGGACACGGAAGCCTGGTGTGCCACAGTTCATGGGGTTGCAAAGAGTGGAATATGACTGAGCAACAAAAATGTACAATAAGATCATGTCACAAATTTCTATTTGTAACATGATTTTTCTCATAACACTATATCCTAAACATTGTGCTGTATCATTAAACAATTATTATCCCCAATATAATTTTGTGATGACTGCATTGCATTTCATTGATTGGATGTGCCACTAATTTATAAACATCCTTTTATGGACGTTTTAGTGTGTAGAATTTGTAATGATTACAAAAATGCTGCAAGAAATCCTCTTGGTAAATTTTTGCATACACACTCAGTTATTTCCTTCAGAAATTCCATGAATTTTGATTGCCAAAATGACCTACAGTAAACAGACCAATTTATACCGCCCTTTGCAGTACATGACTATTACTTTCCCAAACTCTAACCCACATAGGGTATTGCCTTATAAATTTCTTAACTGCTTTTAGTTACAAAGGAATGGTTATTTCCATAGTAGTATCTGATACACAATTAAAAAGAAAGAATACGTATACTGAAAACTAAAATTGCACAGTGAAATATACCTGGTAACTTGTGGGAACCTATTTTCCTTAAATGGTGGTAGGGTACTGATTATTTTCTGGGATAAATAAAACCCAGTTCTGCTTGAAAGCACACTGAATGAGTGTTCAAGTGGATAGTACAGAGTAGTTAGTGCCTTGATTCCCTAATTTAATTGGCACTGCCTCTTCTCAGTCTCTGTCCTTCAATATATCCCTCATTCTACCTTAATATTCCACCAATCAAGAGAGTCTGTTGCATTAACAGGATTTTAATTTTGAGGATGCTCCTAGGAGCAGTAAGGAGAAATCAGTCATTCACAGCTTAGAATGAATTAATTCCAATTGGCTGAAGTCTTATTATGTAGCAAAGATCTACCATCCTGAGCCATGTTGAAAATTTCTGGGAAGAATCAACATTCAGTATGGGCTACCTGAAAATGACACATTGGTTTAGGCAGGTGAGGTAGAGTAGGGGTGGGAACGTGGCACAGACAGAACAGCACTGAGGAAAAATTGAGATCAAGAAAAAGGGAGGGAGAGTGATGCTGAAGGACAACACAGGATAATATTGCTTCCTTTTTAATTTTGCCCAGTGGCTGACCTGAGTCACCAATGGTTTCTACCTTCTCCATTGTAAAATCCTTTGATGAGAACGATGTACCCACAGAGAAAGGGGCTGATTTGTGTTTTACCTCTTTCTTAGATGCCAGAGTAGAGAAGGGAACTTTACTGGGCCATCTCTGGGTAGACAGGTTTGGTAGGCATGGACTCAAAATCAAGAAAACCTGATCAAAACATAGATCAAGGGCTAGACCAGTCCAGCCTACAGGGCTCCCAGCAGAGACCTACAATGATGAAGGGAGGGAATCCAGTAAATAAAAGCTAGAGATTTTTAAACTGTTATTGTCCACTTTTTTCCTTTGGCTTTTTTTCCCCCTTCTAATGGCCCAATTATCAATGACTAACATTTTATTCACTTTTTCTGTCTCTCATTATAATGCTCCACATCACTCCTCCTAGTTCAACATAGAGATGTCCCCATAGGCCTTCCAATTTCCTGAGCATCAGCCTTTGTTTCTCTTGGGCTCTCTCCTAACTCACTTCCCATTTATTACTAGCAAAGAGGTGGTCGGCATTTCCAGTGAGTCATATATTTGAGTTCCATGCCACTCTTAGGAGACAAAACATTTCCATTGTTAAAAAGATTCACAAGCAATGAAAGGAAAAACACTTAAATTTTTCAGACTTTTCTTTGGAAACTTACAAAAAGCAAAATTCAAAGCATTATTCACTTATTGAAGTGTCAATTTAAGTCCATAAATAAAATTATTGTGATCTGTCTATAAAATTTATTCAATATGACTCCCTAGTGATTTTTTAAAAACAAAGTCCATATATTCCAATTATAATGAACATAAGTTTGGCATGGCTAAGGTTTGAATGGAAGTCAAATGGAGGAACTGGCAACTCAAGAAACTGACCCCCTCCTCTCCTCCACGGAGTCTCTTTCCCTACATCACCTCCCTGGCACATTCTTTCAAAGTTATTGCCACCACTTTCTCAAATCCAATCCCACATGGCCAAGTGTGGTCTAAGCACTGCCATGTGAACACCTTACTCTCATTGCCTCTCCAACCCTACATATCTAAGAATTAGTCCCTCATTGCCCCACAGCATTTCCATACCTAATCATTCTTGAATTTGATAGACTGCTGGAAATTTAACAGGGAATGGACAATTTTGACTCCAGGTTGGATCTGTTTCTTTGACTGTAACCTTTGCTTTTCTTTGCTTTTGTTAATATAATCTTACATAATGGCTTGCCTCAGGGAACCCTGCCCTTCTTTCTGTTAAAGTTCTTTTGTTCAGCTATCAGGGAGACAATCTGACCCTGTGCACCTGGAAATGGCTGCAGAAAAGAAATTAATATATCCCCTATTTTTCAAGATAAATGGCCTTTTTCCTTTACTTCACCTCCCCAACTCTGTTCTATAAAAGAACCTGGCATCCAGACCCCATAAAATGGTTATTTTGAGACATCAGTCTGCCATCTTCTTGGTCTGCTGTCTTGCCAAACAGTTGTCATTCCTTGCCTCAACACCTGTCTGTAGACTTAGTGGCCTGTTGTGCAGCAAGGGCGTTGAGCTTGACTTAGTAACACCACCTGAACAATTTAAGCTGGAAACTTTAGTACATTAGTTTCCTGTTGCTACTGTAACAAATTACCATGAATTTAGTGGTTTAAGATAATGCAAATTCATTATGTTAGAGTTCTACAGGTCAGAAGTCCACCTGGTCTGGTCAGTCTTGCCAGACTAAAATCAGGTGTCAACAGCCTGCATTCCTTTCTAGAGGCTGAGGGAAAATGTGTGTCCTCCTTATTTGGATAAATGGCAGTTCCTTGCAGTTGGGAGTACCCAGGTCCTCATTTTCTTGCTGGCTGTAAGAAGGTTCAATTCTAGAAGACACCCACATTTCTTGGCTCATGCTCCATTCCTGCATCTTCAAAGCTAGCTACAGTGGATAGAGTGGGGAAGTCCTCTTCAAGTAGCATCTCTGAATCACTTTTCTGCCTCTCTCTTCCACTTTTAAGCATGCAAGTGATAAGACTGTGCCCATCCAGGCTATCCAGGATCATCTCTCCATCCCATAGTCCTGATCTTTAATCATGTCTGCAAAATCCCTTAAAGGCTACATATTTAAGGTTCCAGGTATTAGGAGGGGACATCTTTGGGGAGTCATTGTTTTTCCTCTTGACTCAAAAATTCAATTTTTTAAAATTATAGAGAATGAGTTGCAAGGAACCACATTTTGTGAAGAAAAAACCCCACAGGGGTTAAGTGAAGGGCCCAGAACCCTAGAGTTAGTTTCAACAATATAGCTGACTTTACAAACCAAAGTCTCACTCCTGACTCCTCCCATTCTCCACCTCCCACCCCCAGATCCAGTCATCCATCCTGTGCACTCTTCTCACCACAGCAGGGAGCTTTTGTGAGGATTAAAAAGAAATGATGTGTGTGATGACAGTGATAGTGAACACTGATTGATGCTTCCTGTGGGCCAGGCTTGACACGTGAAGGGCTTCATACATATTTTATTATTTAATCAGTCAACAATTGTATGAAATATGTGGATTCCTTAGAATCAGTCCTCTTTAGTGTTTGAGAAACTAAGGCTGGGCAAGGTTCTGTGAATTGTTCCAAGCCCCCCTCAGAATTCTCTGTATAGCTGGGGTTTGAACCCCGGCAGTCTGATTTCAGAGGCTACCCTCTGGGCCTCTATTCTGCTTCCCATGATAAACTCTGCAGACCATAAATTAGTATATAAATGTGGAGTATTATTACTAATA